GAATTATTAGGATCTTCCAGTCCCCACAGCTCAGTCATTGTTTTATTCATTCATTCTTTAGACGTTCATGTGCTCGACATTGTGCTAGATGTCAGGGATATAAACATGGATAAAACACAGTCCCTGCCTTCAGGAACCACAGTGTAATATGAGACAGACATATGCATAGTGATTAAAAAACTGTGGCAAACACAGAAACAGAGCCAGTACCCAGCCTTTAGGACCAGAAAAAAGTGTTTCCTGGAGGAGATGATGGTGGAACCAAGTCTCACAGGAAGAACATGAGTTGACCAGGTAGTGTCATGTATATATGGGTGGGGTAGGCTGTGGAGGTTGCTTGAACTAAGGAAAGAGGCAAGAAAAACCTAATGTGTTTTTTTTCTGTAATGGGAAGTGGGCTCTGTCCCCTGTCTGGCCCCTAAGACTCGTAAAAGGGAAATTTCTCAAAGATAGGAAGGAGGTTCAGATGCTGGGCAGCTAAAACCTAACAGTCCACATACAATCAGTAAATTATTGAGTGCTGACAAAATCCTAACAAAATTTATGAGTTTCAAGTACTTGAATTTGTCATCCTTTGAAAAAAAAAATCCAGATTTGGGCTTTGACTATGTATCGATACTTCTTAAATCTGCCTCTTCAGATCGTGTCATCATTTTGGTTCAGGATTTGGTAATCTTGTGTCTGCATTAATGTACTCAACTCTTAGCTGACATTTGTCAGCGCACTCTAACGTTCCAACGACAAATTCTCATTGCTTTTTTCCCAGGTGTTTTAACTTTGTTTCATGCTCCTTGTAGCTGAGTGTAATCAGTGTTTGGCATGACATAACAGGAAGCCTTAGTCTCTTGTGCTAATCTTCAGACGTTTATAACTCAGTGTCAAGTCACATTTTCCTACCGAATCCTATCTAATTCTTATGTGAGCTAATTTATTAGTAAAGTATCTGAGGACTGGAAATTTACTTTATTTCGTTGTCTGTATATCATAGAAGTTTCTTATGCAATTTTAATGTTCAGCTAGCTTTGGCTATCCGTTAGTTTGGGTGGTGACATCTTTATATTACATATACATACATCCATATTAAAAAACCAAACCAAACCAGTTGTCATGGAGTCGATTGTGACTCATGACAACCTCATGTATTTCAGAGTACAACTGTGCTCCACAGGGCTTTATGGCTGTGACCTTTCAGAAGCAGATTGCTAGGCATTTCTTCCGAGGTACCTCTGGATGGGTTCAAACTGCCAATCTTCCAGTTAGTAGCCCAGCACTTAACCGTTTTGCTACTCAGGGACTCCATATACATATAGGTGTGTGTATATAACTCCCATACATATACCTATATATACATAATATATATACATATGTGCCCAGTTACATGTTTATGTATAGATAACTGTTTTGTCTAGGTAGAATGCTCTTTGAAGATGGGTATTGTATAAGAATAATAAAACAAGTAAGAATTAGAATGGCCCTTTTTCTATAAAAAGACTAGTATAATTTTAGGGGCAGAGGATTACATTGTGATTTTGGAAGATTTCCATAGAATAGGGAAATTAGAGCAGTTAATGCTCAGCTGTCAAAAATATAATACAGGAACTTGGTTGTGGCCTGCTGCATGCTTGCAGTATAGTCTAACACTGTTTGGTGAGTCAAACTTAAGATGGAAATGAAACTTCCTGTTAATGTTCTGCCAGAAAGAGATGTTACAGTGAAACCTTCAGAACGAAAAGAAAAATCTTCTGTATATTGAAAGTAGCTGAAGTTATTAAAGGTTATATTATTCCAGTGAGACTAAAGGAAGCTAGACAAATGCCTCTTCTGGATGCTCTCGTTCACCAAATACATAGAGAAGGGGCAGATTGGAAGACTGTGAAAATGACCAAACTGTTAGATGTGCTAGAAGAGGGATAGATCTGAAGATTTTTAGGCTCTTACTTTTTTATAGTGATTTTTAAAGCTTCCTTTCTTTCCCTCTTTGTTCTAACCAATTTTCTTTATTGACTGCAGTCTTTTCTGGAGGGAAACCATTTCAGTTTTTGTTCCATTAAAATGTTAACTATCACGATAAAAGAGGTGACTTATCCAAACTCATTGTATTACATATCTGCTTTTCTGCTGAAATGACTATGTCATTCTGAAAAAAGTTTTATGTTTTAGTTTACTCAAAAACCTGATTCTTCAATGACTTTATTCATTCTCTCTGGGATTACTCACTGTTTGCTTTCTTTGCTAATGGCAGGGTTCACACAACGGCATGCTGTTTCTTGTTCTGAGATTTGGCAAACTCAGAAAGGCTGTTTATTATTTCTTCAAAATGTGTGAACTTTGTGGAAAGAAAACAAAATTTTAATGAAAGAAGTTTGGGTATTTGTTTTTGTCTAAACTGTTAAACACACCTGTTTAGTAATCTTAAAGTTGGCATATTCTTCAGCATGCCTCTGTGTCAATTAAAAAATGTTATTTCTAGAGGTATGGCACTTACCTCCATTGTTTTCAGTAGATTGGTTGTTCCTATAATAAATGTAGGATGACTTTTGAGTGATAATATTGGTGGCGTGTGATAACATTAAAGAATTTCCTAATAATGTCCTGAGATTCAGGTGGGCAAGTAATGGTGGCTACACATCAAGGTTATGACCGTTGCAAAGTACTATAGAACTTTAAGTAGATTGCTTTGAAAGCCTACTTTCTTGTCAGGTAAAAATAAGAGTACAAATCACTGTTTACCTTTCTAAGATTAATGATATATTTTCAAAGAGTTTCTCATGTAAACAACCTTCCAGATAGTATTAAAAATAATTTGCATTTCATTCCTCCTGCACTACCTTTGAGCCCTCCCAATCTCTCTGTGGTTCCCCAAATGATTGTTTTGAGCAAAACAGAGTACCTGTGAAGGTTGTAGAGGGCCTTTGCTTAAAAGTTGATAAACAGGTTCTCACTCAGTGATTTTGGGGTGGATGACACTCTTTCAAAGGCTTTACTGTTTCCACATTTGTTTCTATATTCTTTTTTTTTTTAATTGTGCTTTAGGTGAAAGTTTATAGAGCAAATTAGTTTCATTAAACAGTTTCCATTCATGCAGCTTTCCTGTCCTGTCCTTGTGCTGGGCTTGTGCACGTTTAGCCTTGTATACATGGTTGAGTTACACATATTATTGATCATTTTATAGGCCTGTCTAATCTTTGGCTGAAGGTGAACCTCAGGAGTGATTTTAGTACTAAGTTAAAAGGATGTCCAGGGGCCATACTCTTGGGGATTCCTCCAGTCTCTGCCAGACCAGTAAGTCTGGTCTTTTTGGGAGTTAGAATTTTGTTCTACATTTTTCTCCAGCTGTGTCTGGAACCGTCTATTGTGATCCCTGTCAGAGCAGTCGGTGGTAGTAGCCGGGCACCATCTATCTAGTTATGCTGGACTCAGTCTGGTGGAGGCTGTGGTAGTTATGGTCCATTAGTCCTTTGGACTAATCTTTCCTTTGTGTCTTTGGTTTTCTTCATTATCCTTTGCTCCAGATGGGGTGGGACCAGGGGAGTCTCTTAGATAGATGACTGCTCACAAGCTTTTAAGGCCCCAAACACTGCTTACCAAAGTAAGATGTAGAACATTTTCTTTATAAACTGTATTATGCCAGTTGAGCTAGATGTCCCCTGAGACCATGGTCCCCAACCCTCAGCCCAATAACTCGGTCTCTCAGGGAGTTTGGATGTGTCTATGAAGCTTCTATGACTTTGCCTTGGTCAAGTTGTGCTGATTTCCCCAGTATTGTGTACTGTTTGACCCTTCACCAAAGTTACTACTTATCGATTGTCTGTTTAGTGTTTTTTACCCCCCACTCCTCCCCTCCCTCATAACCATCAAAGATTGTCTCTTTCTGCGTGTAAACCTTTTCATGAGTTTTTATAATAGTGCTCTGATATGGTATTTGTCCTTTCGTGATTGACTTATTGCACTCAGCATAATGTTTCTGTATTCTTCTAATGCTTTGTTTTTGAGATTTCTGACTGGCTTCTGGTCTTGAGTTAAGCTTCCAACTACTGCATTTTGCCACTTCCTATACAAGAAGTATTTGGGAAATCTTTTCTTGTCTCATATAGATAGAACTAGCTTCAAAGTATATCCCTGGCATAGAGTGACATGTGTAAGTCTCATAAATTAGAAAGAGACAAAGTTGTGTGTGTGTGTGTGTGTGTGTGTGTGTGTGTAAAACTAGTACTTATTTCAGCTATCCATGTATAATTCAAATTACTAAGTGATCTAGCTCCTACCAACTTATTAGCAGATATTTATTGTCTACGTACTTGTCACTGTGCATCTCAGCAGAATAATAAAACTCAAAAGTTTATTAATGCATGGTTCTTGCTGTATGGGAGTTGACTAGTTGGGAGAAACAAGATTTGCATATACATGAAACAGTGAAAACAGAGCAATGAAATACATGATTATCCTAAGTGCCGAATTGAGTGGCATAGGCCAGGACTATATAGAGGCCAGAGAACAGGGAGAGCAAGCAGGACTGGGAAGATTAGAGTCCACAAAGGAGGTAGGACTTGATCTTTACCCTGAAGGGTGAATAGGATTAAAGAAGACAGCAGAAACAGGAAAGGGCACCCCAGACAGTGGATGACATTGGCCTGGCACAGAACTAAGTGTTAGCTTTCTGTGTTTGTGTTTGTTGAATTAGAAGGATGCTGTTGGGGAAGTGGATTTTAAATAGGTTGAATGCGACAGACCTTCATTTGTATTCTAAGACTATGAGGAATTTGTAGTATCTGTCAAAAGTTGTATAAGTTCAAATTTTTATATTTTCCTTGTGTGCCTTTGGCACACATAAGTTTCCGAGAGAAGGAAGCAATGTTAAATGTTTGATGAAAATCTCTGTATTTTACACAGGCTTAGTATTAATTTTTGCAAAAGTTGTTGTGTAAATAGATGGAAATACAAATATAATCTTGAATTGGCATGTTAGAAACTTTTAATTAATACAGTGAATTTTTTCCTAGGCCAGACCTGATAGACATGAATACTGTTGCTGTTCAAAGCAACCTTGCCAATTTAGAGCACGCTTTTTATGTAGCAGAAAAAATTGGTGTTATAAGACTTCTGGATCCTGAAGGTGAGTTGTTGTCTTTACTATATGTGGACCAACATGAAGTCTGATCATAAGTAATCTGTCAGCATTATTAAATAATCAATTTATGTTGCTGCGTTTAGATGTTGATGTCTCCTCACCTGATGAAAAATCAGTAATAACTTATGTGTCATCTCTCTATGATGCATTTCCCAAAGTCCCTGAAGGCGGCGAAGGCATCGGCGCAAATGTGAGTATTGATTTTTCCATACTAAGTGCTGTTGATTCAGTAAAGACCAGATGAATGAATTCTTTGGTAGTGCTTTTTACAGTTTTTAAATTTCAATTTTTTTTAAAGAATATGAGTTCATATGTGTGTAATAAACTGATACTCTATGCATTTTATGACACCATTCCACCATTAAAATTAAAGTATATCTCAAAATAATATTTGTTCTGTGTTGTAAATAGACCATTCATAATTACATGTCATCTTATAAATAAAAGCTGTAAACCACTGAAATTTGGAGACTTTAGCTTGCTGCTGTTTTACAACTTTTGCTATCCTTATATATATATATAGAATAGCTGACTTTTGAAAACACTTCTAAGTTTATTAGCTCAGATGATCCCTTGAGATAAATTGGCCAGGTATTGTTTTTCTGATTTAACAGTCCCAGAGGAAGGTTACGTGATTTGGCCAAATTCACAGAGCTGTTTAGTAAGCGGGGCAAGATCTCTGACACACAGCTTTGGACTCCTTATTAGTAATTCAATTTCAGTCATGCATATTGTAGTGGTCATGCTCACATGCTAACAAGTGTTTATGCATTTCTGGAAGAGAACAGGAAATCCTGGACATGTTATACGTTTGGGAACAATCTCCTCTCACCCTGGCTCCTCCTCTGCTCCCTGCATATAACATTTTTTTTTTTTTCTACTTTACTTTGAAGATTTAGGAGCTCATCTTGGTGAGCTTCCTTTTCCACTCTTACTTCACCTCTGTGTGTTGTTTCTAGACCTATTTCCTTTCTCTTCCCTCCTTGCCTTCTGTCTTTCAAAAGTCTTATCCTTTTATGACCCCTGAGTAACTTGTTCCCATGCTCATCCTCTCCTCTAATGCCTGCCAATGAGTAAATAATTTTGTCCCCTGTGTTCAGCCATGGTCAGGTCTCCATCTTGGGGGTGTGGTGTGGCTGGGACATTCCATTCTGAACCTGATGTCTGCTTTAGCAGCTATATTATTTCTCACTCCTTCTCCCCACCCCTCACTCCATTCTTAAGTAGTTGGTCTATGCTACCAGTTCCTGTCACTTACACTCCTCTGCTGCGTAGCTTTTGTCCCATTTTTCTACTAAAAGGAGTCTCTCAGAAGTCATCAGTTCAAATTTTTTCATTGTTGTTTTTTCTTATAGTTATAACATCTATCATAGGATGGGCTAGAAGTTGAGAGTACATGGACCGTGGTTCAAATCTGACCTCAAAACAGGTTTTGTTTGGCCTACACAGGATTTTTTAATTTTTTAAATTATTTGCCAATAAGTAATGTGACAATTAAAAGAGATTGTATTTAATGTATATTTATTCACACGCATAATGCCTCATATAGGGCACTACATTTAGTAGGTGCTAAAGTGGCCCATACTTTAGCATGTTCAAAGATCGTTTATTTTTATCTCTCCCCCCCACCTTTTTTTTTTTTTGCATTTTTGAGTTTCCACTACCTGGCTGCTCTTCTGCCTCTCTGAATACTACTTCCTTCCCCCTCCTGATTCCCTTTTTTCTTCAGACTTTCTAATCTGTCTTTGACCTTCTTCTTTGCTTTCAGTCTCTGAGTTATTATTACTTACTGTTGTTATTTTCTTGCCTAAAGAAGGCCTGCCATATTTACTGAATAAAAAAATACTCCAAATCTTTCTGTCCCAGATGCTTGTGTAAATGCTGGTTTATTTCATTTGACTGTTCCACCATCATTTGAAATTCCTCTTATTTCCAAGTAAACATTTCATCTTATTTCCACTAAACTGGCTTGCTTCTCCCCCCTCCCATGCCCCCCGCTTCTGTTAGTACTCTCACTCCTTGCCCATTTACTTGGGCTCAGACAGTTTGGATCATCTTTGATTCTTTCTTTCCTTTACAATTAACAATCAATAGTCTACCAATTATTGTTCGTTTCAGGATGTTTCTTGTGGCCAGTCCTTTATCTTCTCACTACCTACTCCTGGCTATAATCCCTTCACACTAGAACTATGATGGTAGCTTTCTTATGGTTTTTCCACCTCTAGTTTTTTCCTGTCCCAGTCAACTCTGCACACTGCAAAATTAAACTTTCTGAAAACTGATGTCTTTAGCTTGAAAACTTTCAACGGCTTCATGTGGTTTGGAACGTTAAATCCGGTCTAGACCTTCTGATATTTAAAAGTCTGCATATCTTCATCATCCTTTCCTACCATTTTAGCCACTATGTCCCAACGTGAATTTACTGGTACCCAGGGCATTTTCGTTTCAGTGCCCTCACTCATTTGGACACCCCCTCCACCCAGTTACTTATGGTCATTCCAGAACTGCCCAGGAACTTCCTCTCCCATAAGTCTTTAGTGACTATTTAGGGGCACATATATCCTTACTGGTTTTTATCTCTACTTCTAGTATGTACTGCCTGCTTAAGTTATTCTGATGTTTAAACACTGCTTCATTTTGCTTAACTGTTTAAATTGTGTAGGTCTCTTCTCTCCCCATCTAAACAGTAACTCCTTGACAATTGGTAGTATGCCTTAAACTGTTATTCTTTAATTTCTTATGATACTTAGCATAGTGTTTTGAACCTAAAAAGCACTTATCAAACTTAACTGAACATAGCAGTTGATAACCTTCCAGTTGCCTCTATTTAAAAAAAATTTGCTTAATGAGTAATTGAATCATCCCACCAGATTCATTTCTTGTGTGTATGTTTTTTTCTATCCAGTTTCCTATTTATTGTGTAATTCTTTTGAGTTTTAGATATTCAGTGGACTTAGATCTAAAAATGATTGACAGAAATTGCAATTAATCTGGTTTATGCACCCTTTTCCTTGCCCTTTTTGAGCTCCTGACAAACATCTGAAATTGATCAGAGCATTTTTTTCTGCTGTATTTGGGTGCAGCCTCAGAGGCCTTCTCAATGCAGTGCTCCAGGCAGCCACTATCTTTGGATCAGACTTGGGACTCAGTTTGCTAGTATGTGGAGCCCTTGTGGCACAGTGGTTAATCACTTGGCTGCTAACCAAAAGGATGGCAATTCGAATCCACCAGCCACTCCTTGGAAACCCCTTGGGACACTGCTGCTCGGTCCTATAGGGTGCTATGAGTTGGAATTGACTCGATGGCAACGGGTAGTGGTCAGATGTTGATAGCATGTTTTTAAATTTATATATGTTGAAAGGCCTGGGACTATGTAGAAAGTAAGAAAATGTTTAACTGGCTTTCTCAGTCAGGCTTAAACCCTCCCAAATCCACTGCTGTTGAGTCGATTCTGACTCACAGCAACCCCATAGGGTTTCCAAGGCTGTAAATCTCTATGGAAGCAGACTGCCTGCCACGTTTTTCTCCCATGGACCTGCTGGTGGTTTCGAACCACTGACCTTTTGGTTAGCAGTCGATCATTCTAACCACTGTGCCACCAGGGCCTCCTTGTCAGGCTTAAAGACATGTAAATTCACAGAATGGGATTTGACTAGATTGTGTAAGATATGAACGTCATCATCTACAGACTTGGACTTTGTCTGCCGTTTTTTTGTTCTAGGATGTTGAAGTTAAATGGATTGAATACCAGAATATGGTGAACTACCTCATCCAGTGGATTAGACACCATGTGACCACAATGTCTGACCGAACATTTCCTAATAATCCTGTGGAACTAAAGGTCAGTGTCACTATAGAAGTTAAATACAATTCATTTGATTATTAAACTATTAAAGAATGATTAATTCCATTTAGTTGAAGAAAAATTGGCAAGTCACTAGAAAGTGAGCATAAGTTTTATTTGCTTATCTCTCTATTCTACAAAGCAAAAAGAGGTAAACATTAATAATACTTAAAACATAATAGCTACAACAGCTTAAAGAAATTTATAGCCTCTTAGCTTCAAAGCTGAGAGAGTTTAGAATTTGAAAGAAACTCTGGAACTGACATTGCCAACATTTTTTTGGTGCCTGGAAAACCCCTAGAAGCCTACCAGATGGCTAGGGGAGGGGGGGGACTCTGGGAAGCTCACACAAGTGTGACAGTGGTTGGGAGTATAACTATCACCAAATCCTGTTTAAAACACTGCCTCAGAGGCTATTTTAATATAACAATAGGTACATATTGTATTTCACCCCAAATTTGAGAATAAGTAGCCCAGTATAAATGAATTTGTGGTTTAGCAAAGCATTTGCTGATACCTAACAACTTAGGTCAAACTCTTGAGGGAAAAATGTTATGGAAATATAAATGAGGATACATATTGAAGAGCAAGTTGTATCATTTTGAATATTTGGATTATGTAATAGAGTAGCCTACTTTATTTTTAAAAAACTGATAATGTGAATATTAACAACAAAATCTAATTTCTCGGTTTGTAGGCTTTGTTTTCATGATCAAACTGGAATTGCTAAAACTGTAAGAACCCAGGGTGGGCCTCGTTAAAGTTACTCACTGTGTTCATGCGTCCTGCGGAACATCTGCAGAACAGCTCTTCACATGGCCACAGGGAGTTTGTCCTTGGCATGAAGTTACTTGGCATCTGTTGATGCTTTTTCACTGTTCTAAAGCTGTTTGTATGCTGTCTCCCTATGCGGAAGTAAACCTTCCCAGGGCAGGAAAGCCTTTTTACCTTCTGTCACCGCATGGTGCCATGGTCAGCGTTGAGCGTTTAGTAACATTTGGTGCTTACTGGCTGACTGGAGCCCTGAAACGTTCCACCTTGAGTTCTAAACAATATTCAAAATCATGTTCAAATATACTTATTTCCGAATGGATTCCCATTGTTCAGAAACTTGTGCTATCTTCTGACTAATGAAGTTCCTTAAAGTTATGGAAAAAGTTTAAGCAACCACACAGATTACTTATTGGTGTCTAGGATATGTCATAATACAGGAAAGAAATTGCATTATGGAGAAGTGTCTACTAATTTCATTAACCAGCAAAACATTGAATGAAACCCTTCAGAAATATGTCTGCCTAAAGATTTATAGAGTCTGGTTTTATATGAGCGTGAATTAGTGTGAAATGATTAGCATACACTTATTAAACGTGGAGACTTTTTATCTACATAATTTTTATGAAGGTCTTTTATAAAAGTATAGTAAATACATTCTATTTAAGAGATTCTCAAATTGATATCTACAAACTAGATAATAATTTAATTATAAAATTAAAACTGCTATAATAATAGCACCAGCAACCATTAACATCCATCTTTGTTTATCTCAAGATCTGTTTAACTTGGCCAATGGGACATTGAAACCAAATCTTAGTCCTACCTATCTGATAAGAATTCTGTTTTTAAGGATAGAGTCTTGGAATAGAAGAGAACAGGGATCCTCATGCCCCACCCTGTTTATGGGAAACTACATCAGGTTATTTTTCCCAGAACTAAAACCTGAAGTGCAACATTTTGTAAAGTGCATGTTTAAAGGGTATGCTTTCTTGTTTGGATGATGATTTTCAGTAGAGCCATAGTTAGTAATCACTGTCAACGGTTTGTTATTATCCAGATGCCTGTGTGGCCCTATTGAATCATGGCTCACATCAGTAATTATACCTGCCTCAAATCTTACATAACCCAGGTCACCAACTGGCTGTGAATCGGTACTGCCCTTGAGTATCGAATTTATAACAGGAATTCCACTGAAAACATAGGACACAAGAACATGGCATTTGAAGCAGTGACATTATGAGATAGTGAAAACAGAGCTTTGAGGTTTGGCCTTTAATTATTTTTGCTTATATTTCAGGCACTTTATAATCAGTATTTACAGTTTAAAGAAACAGAAATTCCACCAAAGGAGACAGAAAAATCAAAAATTAAACGCCTATATAAACTCTTAGAGGTAAGCAAAAATTTCTTTCTGTATTCTTTTGTATTGTGAAAAACATAATCTTTGTTATACTTTGTGTCTTTGCTTCACATGAAATGTTTTACTTTTCGAAGATTTGGATAGAATTTGGACGCATCAAACTCCTTCAAGGTTATCATCCTAATGACATAGAAAAAGAGTGGGGGAAGCTCATTATTGCCATGCTTGAGAGGGAGAAAGCACTTCGCCCAGAAGTAGAAAGGTAGGCATGGGGTGGGAGGCTGGAGATGGGGAAAGTCTCTTTGTTCCTGTGGGAAGACAGCTAAGTTTTGGAGCCAGACAGACCTAGGATCAAAATTTACCTTTTCTACTTATTGGCTGTGTGAGTTTAGATGAGTCACTTACTCTTTCTGATTTTCCATTTCCTTACCTATAAACTCTTCCAAGAGATTTGAGGAGTAAATTAGTGAAGTAATGTACATAAATGCCTGGTAGGCTGGGTTGGTGTGTGAAGTCTAATATTATAGAGTGTTCATAGTTTTAAAGCCAATAAAAATTGTCTTTGAGAATTTTGAAAACCAACCTTAAATCAGTAGGGCCTGGATCTGGAAGCTCGTAAATCAAGAATTAACTTATTTTATTTCTTGTTATATTTTTGGCTTTGACTTTCTTTCCATGGGACAATAGAAACCAAAGTCTAGTATGACTCCATTTAAAGGGTAGGGGGATGGCGTCTAGAAAACACTCGGTAAATGTCAGTTTGAGTTCCCTTTCTGACACGCTGCTACAAATGCATTTGTCCTACAATGTCATCACTGGCTCTTTATCATTCTGTCTCTCCCACAACACCCATTTGCCCAGGAACGTAGCACTTAGTCCTTAGGAAACATTTGTTGGATGAATTTGCCTCTGTTTCAGTCCTTACCCCATAGCCTGACTTGTGGTCTGTGGGAACTGTGATCTGTGTTCCTCTTTTGCTGAGACCTCCTTAGGGGCAAGGGCTGGGCCTTTCATTATGAGGCCTGTGTGGCCAGGCACAACCCCCCAGCCTGGTCTCACACCACACCCTCCTCGCTGTCTGCAGTGCAGCCAAATTGGCTGTCTCTCAGGGGCTCTGATAGCCCAAGGTCCTGTCATCCCCCATAGACAGGATCTTTGCACAGTCTGTTCCTTTGGCAGAGAAGTCTGTTTTATCCTCACATCTTAGCTCCGGTGTTACTTCCTCAAGAAACCTTCCGTAGTCTTCCAGACTAGTTCAGATTTCTAGGTTATATATGCTGATATTTACATGTACTGTTTCTTCATAACACTTATCTCAGTTGTAATTTTATGTTTATCTGTGTGATTGTTTGATTAATTGCTACCTCTTCCACAGATACAAGCTCTAAACTCTTGTTTTTGTGGTTCATTGTGTTACCAGTGCTTAACACAGTGTGCACGACATACATACTCAGTATGTTCATGTTCTTTGTACCCCACACAATGCCTTAAACATTGTGGAATATGAAATAATGTGTAGAAGATAAGAGAAAGCAACCTTGTCAGTCCCTTTAACGATTAAATTATTGATTACACTTTTGTTAAAGTATAATATTTTATCTACATAGCTGGATCATTGGAGTGCCTGGGTGGTGCAGACGGTTAAGGTGCTCAGTTGCTAGCTGAAAGGTTGGAGGTTCAGGTCCACCCAGAGGTGCCTTGGAAGAAAGTCCTGGCAGTCTACTTCCAAAAAATCAGCCATTGAAAACCCTGTGGAGCACAGTTCTACTCTGACACATATGGGGTTGTCTTGAGTTGGAATTGGTTTAACAGCAACTGGTTTTGGTTTATTTGGATCATTAGAACCCAAACAAGCTGGAAATACTCAGGATGGAACTTCTATGGAGGAGGTAATTCTGGGTGATGAAAATGAGATACTAAGTCAATCATCTGAAGTAATGGAAAAGTATACCAGAGAAAGTATGTAGAGTAGATTTTTAAGTCATCAGAATAGTAGCTGGATTTTAATATATGTTAATAACAGAGTGCAGCAGTTAAGATTTCAGGGCCCAGGAGCCAGTAAATCTTGCATTAAGATTATTAGCTCCTCAGCTTGCTAGCTGTGAATCTTAGATAAGTTCTTTAATCTCTCTAGGCCTCAGTTTTCTCATTTGTAAAGAAGATTAATAGTACTCACTACAATTGGTGGTTATGAGTATGAGATAATATATATGAAGTGATTAAATAATTTCCTGGTATATAATTGTTTGATAAATGTTAGATGCTACTATTATTAATTTGAGCTTTTCTATTTGCTAACTATATATCACATGCGCTCTCAGATTTCCTCTTTCTTGCCTTCTGAAAAGAAAAATATCCACCTTTAGAGTAGAGAAGCAACAGTTTGGCTAGGAAAATATTTAGGAGCTTAGATGGGTAAATGCCTTCATTTTTCTTGATGCAACAAGTTTTTTGGCATTAACTGTGTGTTGCAGATATTACCTGCGTGGCATAGGAGTTTGAAAAAGACAGATGGGAAAGAGCCCTGTTGTTATGCAGTGTAATAACCTTATTTCACAGAGTTAATATTCAGTTCTTTTAAAACACAGGATTCTGAAAGATTAGAATCAGGGCTGCAGTTCCAGAACGAAGCAGAAATTGCCAGATATGTACTTGAACGTGGAAACTTTTTATGCCAGCATGTAATCGATGTACAGATTGTTATTGATGGAAAATATTACCAGGCAGATCAGAAAGGAAAAACAAGTGCAAACAGGTTAAATTTATAAGATTGCAACAATATTCTACTTAACACTTTGGCTTTAAAGAACACAAGTAACTATAGTATGGTTAGAAATAAGATTACGGAGAGCAGGTCTTATAAAGAAAGGTAAATGGATTCTTTTTCAGTTAATTTAATAAGTAACAAATGTACTTTGTTTCTCATCAGAGTCCTTGGTTATAAGCACTTGATAAGTGCTAGCTTTTAGCCTGATGTTATACAGTACAGACCTGGCCCTTTCCAGTATACAGGGTATAATTGAGTGTTAGGGTTCTTTTAGCTGATGATTGGTATTACCAGAATAGTCTTTTCTATAGTATCTGGGCCTCTGTGAGGCATCTGAGTTGTTTTTTAGGTGGTTGCAGTTGGATGACTCTTGGTGAAAATATTTGGCATATCTTCTTTAGTGACACCCCAATCAGGTACTCTGTCCATACTTGTACAGTTTTAATGCAGGCTACAAAAGGCAAACCTCAGCTAGCAAACCTGTGGCTTTAGGCGAGATTCTTTTGAATAGTTATCAGCATATCATTTGCTGCGTGTTGAATATGCATGTTGAAGCATATTTAAGGAGCCGTTAAAGCTGTAACATTCAGCTGTCACCTATCACTGTTAGAAGTTGTGCCTTTTGCAGACTTTCTACTTTTTAGTCTATGTTTAATGGTCGAAGAAAGAACATTGTTTCAGGAATAAAAATGCACGGTAGTAGTTACAGTTACCACAGCAGTGATTCTGTGTTTAGTAACACTACTAGCACTCGAACCAGTCTTGATTCAAATGAAAATTTTCTCTCAGTTAATTGTGGTCCAACGCTGATCAAGTCTTGCATTAGCTTCGGCAATGAATCCCTTGATGGACACAGGTATTGAGTCAATTGTGTCTTTCTTTTGGTGGGCAGTGTTTTACAGGGATGTGAACTGTGCAACTTCAAAGGGAGAGGCTTTATTGTATTTTGTCCCTTCTTTTAGGTTGGAAATGTTGCAGCAGATTGCCAGCCGAGTTCAGAGGGACAGTGTCATCTGTGAAGACAAATTGATACTTGCCCGAAATGCCCTCCAGTCTGTAAGTTAACTTTAGGAGCTGTTGAGATTACGGTAGAGGGGGTCAGTGTGCATTTGGATGAACTAACATTTTTGCATAACATTTGGTAGATTCTTAGTATATCTTCTCATCTGAAATTTAAATTTTGTTGAAGATTATTACTGATGTTTGTTCTCTTGAGGGACAGCGAGAATAAAGGGAAAACAAAGAAACCTCAACTGGGCTTCTGTTCCAGTATTTGGAGTTTTATATTTGAGGCTAGTTTTGCAACTTGTTTCACAGAGTTAATATTCAGTTTCTCATTTTTTTAAATACAGGATTCTAAAAGGTTAGAGTCAGGGCTGCAGTTCCAGAATGAAGCAGAAATTGCCGGATATGTACTTGAATGTGAGAACGTTCTACGCCAACATGTAATTGATGTACAGATTCTTATTGATGGAAAATATTACCAGTCAGATCAGTTAGTACAAAGGTAAGAGTGTCACTTATTCATACCTGTGCTTTAGTATAACCATTTCATGGGCACTGATGGTAGGGATAGGAGTCCCTGGGAGGCACAAATGGTTAAGGGCTGCATTACTAGCTGAAAGGCACCTCAGTTTGTGCCTACCCAGAGGCACCTCGGAAGACAGGGCTGGCGATCTTCTGAAAGGTCATAGCCTTGAAAATCCTATGGAGCAGTTCTCTGCACACATCGGGTCGCCATGAGTCGGAATCAACTTGATGGCAACTAACAACAACAGTAATGATAGGAATATAAATGTGACAATTTTATGAAATATTCTTTTATGCTCTTTTCAGTGGAAAATACATGTTGTGTTAATTCTGGCATATTTTGGTGTATAAAGTTGGTATTTCTTCTTTAGAGATCAGTGATAGAAAAAATGATGTTTTATGATATGTATAATACTGTAATAATATATTTGCACTTAAAATGTTCATGTGTGACATTTGAAAAAGAGAAAGTATAAGAAGTGTGCCTTTTATACCTTATCCCTTTTAATTTTATTTTCAGGGTAGCAAAACTCCGTGATGAAATTTTGGCCTTAAGGAATGAATGTTCTTCAGTGTATAGTAAAGGACGCCTGCTGACGACAGAACAGACGAAGCTCATGATATCAGGAATCACTCAAAGTTTAAACTCAGGATTTGCACAGACCTTAAACCCCAGTCTGAACGCAGGGCTGACCCAGAGTTTACCGCCTTCCCTGACATCTTCCAGTGTGACTTCAGGCCTGTCCTCAGGCCTGACTTCCTGCCTGACTCCATCCGTCACTCCGGCTTATACACCTGGTTTCGCATCAGGATTAGTTCCAAATTTCCACTCAGGAGTAGAGACAAATTCATTGCAAACTCTCAAGTTGATGCAGATCCGAAAACCCCTTCTAAAGTCTTCTTTGCTGGATCAGAATTTAACAGAAGAGGAAGTAAACATGAAATTTGTTCAGGACCTTTTGAATTGGGTGGATGAAATGCAGGTAAGAGATGTTTACTTTACCTGATAGTTTCAGCCTTTATTTCTATCAGTGTCTTTTTGAACCTGGTATTTTGCTGTTTAAAGGTGCAACTGGACCATACTGAATGGGGATCAGATTTGCCAAGTGTTGAAAGCCATTTAGAAAACCATAAAAATGTTCACCGAGCTATTGAAGAATTTGAATCTAGCCTTAAAGAAGCTAAACTTAGTGAGGTATGTGAGTTTAAAATCTGTATAGATTTTATTTTAGCTTACTGTTGTTTTGCTCTGTAAAGATCCTGTAACTCAATATTAGATACATTAAGTGTGACTCAGAATTCCTTACGATTCCTAACCTTGCTATCTTTTTACCCCATATTTTTTATAGATCCAAATGACAGCACCTCTTAAACTAACTTATGCAGAGAAGTTGCACAAATTAGAGAGTCAGTATGCAAAACTCTTGGTAAGTTTTTTAACCTTCCGTTTCCCTTATCTCTGTTTGGCAAAGACATGATTCTTATAATGATTTTCCTTATAAAGAATACATCCAGAAATCAAGAACGACACCTTGATACACTTCATAATTTTGTAACTCGGGCAACTAATGAACTTATTTGGTTGAATGAAAAAGAGGAGGAGGAAGTTGCTTATGACTGGAGTGAAAGAAATACCAACATATCTCGGAAAAAAGATTACCATGCTGTAAGTACAACCTTTGTAATTTGAATGCTGAAGTTGTATTTCAGGCTTCAATCTTTTTCTCACATACTTCTTTTTTTCTTTCTTAAATTAGGAATTAATGAGAGAACTTGATCAAAAGGAAGAAAATATTAAATCAGTTCAGGACATAGCAGAGCAGCTGCTTCTGGAAAATCACCCAGCCCGGTTAACTATTGAGGTAAGTCAGAAAGTTTAGCAATTGCGATTGAATATTGACATTTGATTATTACCCTTCAGATTCTTTTATTGCTGATAAATAGAAAAATACAAACTGTGACAGTTTTATTACAGTCTGGCTAATTTCAAAAATAATCGTTTTTGGTAAGTCATACTGATTGTTGGCTTCAGTTTTATTGTTTCCTAATATGTCACCCATCACTTGGAATAAAGTTATCTTTGTCAACTCCCCGTCAACTCCTGTGGCTGAGGAGTAGATGTGTTGTTGTAGAGACAAAGGGCCTTGCTTTTACAAGCTTTGACATTTTACTTATTTCTGACCGTGTGACTTTTGGAAAATGAAATAATCTCACTAACCCTCATTTTTCTACCGAAAGTGGGAGAAATTGCTTCTAACCAAGAGGGTTGTGGTGACAATGAGAAAAAACAATGAATGCTTACTACTTAATACAGTGCTTGGTACATAGTATGCTCTCAAGAAGTATCAGCTGTTACTATTTTATTTAATAATTTTATTTATGACCTATTTTTGTAGGTGTGTTGGGACAGCATCCTGGCAAGGCCTCATAGTGTAGAGTACATATTTGAAATTTTAAAACACCCAAAAAACCCAAACCTGTTGCCGTTGAATTGATTCCGACTCATGGCAAGCGTGTGTGTTACAGAGTAGAACTGCTCCATAGGGTTTTCTTGGCTGTAATCTTTATGGAAGCAGATCACCAGGCCTTTCTTATACGGGGGGGTTTGAACCACCAACCTTTAGGTTAGTAGATGAGGACAAACCATTATCCAGGGACCTCTGTTTTGTAACTATGTTTCAAATACAGAAGTGGAGAATTGGGAAGGAACTTGTCAGACCGCCCATCTGGTGGTGGTGAGTTTGGTTTTTAGGCCTGATACGTATGCTAGACAGAGTTGGTGACTTTCTAAATGTGAAATGTGGCAGGGGTTTACCTAAGAGGGTGAGGAGTGTCAAACGTAGACAGATGTGATATATTGCCAGACGGAAAAATTAACGCTCTGCTTAAAAAGCGACATGCTTTAAATTATCAGAGTTGAGGAAAAGAATCTGATAGTCTGTTCATGGGAGTCATGACACAAAAGATTAATAAAATTCTAGGCCTCATGAGGAAGAGTTTTGAGAATGTTATGTTTGACCTTCTTTTGTATAACATGTGGCTGTCCGTCCTTATGAGATGCCGTATGCAAATGTTAAAGACATACAAGAGTAGGGAAAGGAAATTAGAATAATCAAGGGTCTAGATAGACTAAAAATAGAATACTTCTCAGGGTAGAGAGATGAAAGCTTTAAGGAAGTATGATTACAGGTTAAGAATTTTGATGGGAATGGAAAATTTGAATGTGAACCTGATCACTTTTATGTAGAAATGTTAGTAATTATAATTAACTATAAGTTTCTTGCCCTAGGGATAAAATTAAACCTTACTCATCTTTATGATCCCCTTGGCCCTATCCAGTATCTTGTGTGGATAAATGGATAATATTTGGTTAATTATCAACACTATTTCATATTTTATAATGAAAAAAGAAACTAATAATCTAGCAGTGCACAATAATTTGTCTTTTATTGCCAGTTTACTCAAAGTAGGTTAATTTGATAGAGCAGATAATGTGATCATGATATGTTGCCAGATTTTCAATGCTGCGTTATACATTCCACCCAGAAGGCCTGCCTGAACATAACACAACAGGAATGAGTTTTTCCAAACCAAGGAGAAAAGTTACAGGTCTTGTTAGGATAGTCATGAAAGCATCTGGAGTGCCCCCTGCTGGAAGCCAGTGAATTTCACATTAAATGTAAAAAGGTGTTTTACATGTTTCTCTAATTTTTACACTCATGAATGATAGACTTTGTATTAAATAAAAATCGAAGCAAACAAATATTTTTGTTATAGAATACATAGACTATACCCAGAATTACACTGATATGGGAACACAAACTCCCTTCTCTTACTCTTCCCCTCCCCCCATCTTTTCCTGGCAAAAACAACAAAGTACATAAATGTTTTTTCCTTCCTTGAAGAGCCTCTGGCCTAGTTTTAGAATCAAAAACAAAGACAGAAACTACAGAATTATATATTTCTGTGTCCGAAGGTGTCTTTTATGACGTAGTAATATAAAAATTCAGAGAAAGGAAAGATGAAGGGAAGGTCTCATGCAAGAAAGTATATTTGAGGATTCCACAAAGTAGGTGTGTGGGTTGGGATGGAATGGATTAAAGAGTTGGTTTTCTAAATGAGAGGGATTGCTTGCATCCATTTCAAATTTTAAGTACTTCATCATGTAAAACTAGCCAGAGTTGGTATATTTTAAGAAGAAATCTAAAGAAATTTGAACATTTAAAAAAATTGAAAAGTCTCCTAAACTAATTTAAACATTCATTTTTAAACTTTAGGACTGGCTTTGTGCAAGTGAGAGCTCCTAGATTAGATTTCTGCTCTCATTTTCAAGTCTTATTCTGTTAAAACAACTACATCATCTATTCTTTAAAAGCATCAAGAGTATCGTTGCATGCACATCTCATGATTCTGCAGCCAGTTATGATGGCTATGTTTTATCTTTAAGGCCTACAGAGCGGCAATGCAGACACAGTGGAGCTGGATCTTACAGCTCTGCCAGTGTGTGGAGCAGCACATAAAGGAGAACACTACATATTTTGAGGTATGTAAATAAAATTGCAGCTTCAATAGGTTATTTTGTGATGTTGAATGTCTTGCAGAGAATGTGTTCATGATTTAGTATTAAGATACAGAAACATAAATGTAATGTGGATGTAAGATAAACAAATATTTTCTTTGTAGGATATAAGGATTATTTCACGTCCCATAGGACACACTGAAACATTGTATGAAGGAATACTCTAAAAACCTCTTAAAATGTCAGAAAGTCTTTACAGATGTGTGTTTTATTAAGGAAATGTTTTCATTATAGATAAGTCAGTCAATGAAATGAACTCTTTTTTTCTATTCTTCAGAAGTTTTCTTCAGAAGTATTCTTGAAAGTTCATCTCTATTTAAAAATTATTTGTACCCTGAAGTAAAACAGACCTTCAACCAAAACACAGTATAGAAATAAACTTTGGACACTTAATACTAATTCATAATCATCCAAAGTTCAAGAGTCATTGTTTGGTTCAAGGAAGGATATGATTATTGTGTTATCTTGTGCTTTTATTCTGTTCTCACTTATGAGTGATACACACTGTGCCATAACACTTGAACTTGGCAACACTGTGCCTTACTAACATTTAAAGTACTTTAACTGCCAGGTTTTGTCTTTCCTTAGTTTTTCAGTGATGCCAAAGAAGCTACTGATTACTTACGGAATCTAAAAGATGCCATTCAGCGAAAGTACAGTTGTGATAGATCAAGCAGCATTCACAAGCTCGAAGACCTTGTTCAGGAATCAATGGTACTAGTACAAAAACCTATGCTTTAACCAGTAATGTATAATAGTGATTAGTGTTTTTACTATATTTTTAATGTATACAGAACTTTATTGTCCTTTTGATATTTCCACTTCATTCAATCAAGCATTTAAATACTCAGTTTTTGTATTTTGGTAACAAATACAACAAAAATGTTTATATTTGCCTTGATATTTTAAGTGGTGTTCGATTTTTTGTGTTCATTCATTCATTCTACAAATACTTATTAAGGCCTTTTTATATGCCAGGCACTGTTTTAGGTATTGGAGATACAGAGCAAAACAGACAAGCATTCCTGTCTTTGTGGTGCTTACGTGTTAGAGGGGGAAATAGATAATAAACATGATAAATAAGTAAAAAACGTATACTGTGTTAAATAGTTGTAGATGCTAAAGAGAAAACAAACAAAAAAACAAGGGAAGGGGGAGGCGCTATAGGCAGGTGTTAAAAGTTCAGACCCGCTAGTCAGGGAAGGCTTCTCTGACAAAATTTCATTTGTATAACGCCCTGAGGGAATGGAGGGTACAGGTCTTGCATGTTTTAAAATCCATCTTCATTATTTCTTAGGAAGAGAAAGAAGAACTTTTGCAGTATAAAAGCACAGTAGCAAGCCTGATGGGGAGAGCAAAAACAATAATTCAGCTGAAGCCAAGGAATCCTGACTGTCCACTCAAAACTTCTATTCCGATCAAAGCTATCTGTGACTACAGACAAATTGAGGTACTTGTAACTCTTAGAAACAAACCAGTTTCTGTCATTATTCATATATATATATATAAAATGGGATCATATTGCTTGTTAGTAGTAAAAAGTCTTTCCACCTCAAAAAATAAAACACACACACACACAAATCCTAAGATAGGGTATGGAAAAAAATTAGTTAACGGTGACTTCATTTGGTTCTTCTGTTCTTCATTTGAAACCAGATAACTATTTTCAAAGATGATGAATGTGTATTGGCAAATAATTCTCATCGCGCTAAATGGAAGGTTATTAGCCCTACTGGGAATGAGGCTATGGTCCCGTCTGTGTGCTTCACAGTTCCTCCACCAAACAAAGAAGCAGTTGACTTTGCAAACAGGTTTGTATGCGGTAGCTAAGAGCATAAAGCTGGTTTTGGGTGGCTTTTTTAAGTGCTTGGCTACCAAGGTGGTTCAGAGGTACATAGGAAGAAACGTTTGTCAATCTACTTCTGAAAAATCGTAGCCATTGAAAACCCTGTGGAACACAGTTCTGCTCTGACACAAATGGGGTCGCCATGAGTCAGAATTTACTTGATGGCAACTGGTTTTTAAGGTTAAAGAAACAATAAATACTTTATCAGAGACCCACAGGGTTGATCAGAAGGCTGTAGTAAATATGATATATTGTAACATGTTTCAGAGGGAATGAAAATGCGCTTAATCTGTGTTTTCTTTTACATATTTCAGAATTGAGCAACAGTATCAAAATGTCCTGACTCTCTGGCATGAGTCCCACATAAACATGAAGAGTGTAGTATCCTGGCATTATCTTATCAATGAAATTGATAGAATTCGAGCTAGTAATGTGGCTTCAGTAAGTATGTGGCTACACATCAACCCCCTAGGGCACCTTGTCATGAGTGGGGTTGAGTTTGTGTCTGCTCTAGAAGAGGATGGAGCCCAGTAGATTGATGCTAATATTCATTCATTTGATAAATTTTTGTTATATGCCTGCCATATGCAAGGCACTTTGGGAGAAGTGAGGAAATCTTAGGTCATGGATTTCATTCAGTGCTTACATTCTGATAAGGAGACAAAACATAGTGTTTGACATGAAGAAATACATGTAGTTTAGTTTCCTTTACTGAATTTTATAGACTTGATTTTCCTTGTCTTTTAAAGCCTAAAATTATTAATGTAAAAGAAAATTAAATTTCCAATGATTCTTCTGTTTATGACTTTTAGTATAAACTAATATATGCCAAGAGACCAAACTGAGATCTGTCCCATGTAAACTTAAGTCTTTGGACTATAATCACTTAACTGTGTGGATCTTTGGTCTTCTGTAGATAAAGACAATGTTACCTGGTGAACATCAGCAAGTCCTGAGTAATCTACAATCTCGTTTTGAAGATTTCCTGGAAGATAGCCAGGAATCCCAAGTATTTTCAGGCTCAGATATAACACAGCTGGAAAAGGAGGTTAATGTTTGTAAGCAGTATTATCAAGAACTTCTTAAATCTGCAGAAAGAGGTAATGCTTGAAAATCCCTGTTTTTTTCCCTCTAGGTATTTCGTACAGGCTGCATTATGCTCTTAGTGGGACTCTCAGTCTTAGGTGTATTATGTCCCTCAGCCTGTGATACATAGACACAGTTGCTGGAACATTAAATGCATGTTTGAGGTCGAAACATGCAAGGAAGGATACTTTATTCCAAAATGATGAATTGATAAAAAGGTGCACCATTAAATAGTATGACAAATAATGAATTCTTGCTGCATCTACATTTTCCACATTTTTATGGCTTTGCAGTATAATGTTCAGCATGATAATTCTTAGGTTTCATAAAAGATTTAGTTATTTTCCAATATATCAAACTCGAATTTTATATGAGGTTAAAGCAAAAGATGTGTCTAGTTACCTTTCATCAAATATAAATTTTATTCTGAAGTCTGTTGATGTTACTTAGAGACCAAAATTTTATTAACAATATTGTATCTTTTAAAATCTTACACATTAACAGTCTTGATCTACCTTTCATTTTTAAGAATTTTATATTTGATTTTTAGTATTAATCTAAAACTAATAAAGTTCACATTATTGAGAACAGAAAATAGAGCAACACGTAACTTTTTTACATATTGTAAATCAGAAATTGGTATGTCAGATAGCATTAGGAAATTTTATTAACACTTCCTTAAATTGTGATGTCCTTGATTTTAGGATTTATGTCGTTAGAATGGGTTTGTGATGATAACAGGTAACGTAAGTTTGGCTAACTATATCATCTTTGTTGTTGTAAAACTGCCATATTAAAACATGACCAAGAGTATCCAAAAGATAGAAGATATTTTCTAAACATTATGTTTACTTTCACAGAGGAGCAAGAGGAATCAGTTTATAATCTCTACATCTCTGAAGTTCGAAACATTAGACTTAGATTAGAGAACTGTGAAGATCGGTTGATCAGACAGATCCGAACTCCACTGGAAAGAGATGATTTGCATGAAAGTGTGTTCAGGATTACAGAGCAGGAGGTGAGATTTATAAATGTGTTGGGGAAAAAAAATAAGATAAGTTACTCTCTTAAAGACCTTAGGGGTCTCCCGGGAGGCACAAATGGTTAAGCGGTTGGCTACTAACCAAAGGGTTGATGGTTCGAGTCCATCCAGAGGTGCCTCAGAAGAAGGGCCTTTCAGATTTCCAAAAGATTACAGCTGTTGAAAACCCTCTGGCGCACAGCTCTACTCTGAAACACGTGAAGTCACCATGAGTTGGAATTGACTCAGTGGCAGCTGGTTTGGTTTTGGTTTAATGACCTTAAGTGTCAACTCCCATGACTTCTTATATGTTCAACTTTGCATAGTGGTCACTTTGGGAGGTCTGATTATTTATTACTGATTGTAAACAATGATTCTGTAATTCAGGTGTTCTGCCTCTGACTCAGGTAAACACAGGAACTTGTACCCTCCCACCTATTGTGATGGAGGCTATAATGGTTTCTCATTATACATTTGTTGATAACCTTCAGTGTTAGATATTTGGGCTTAAGGAGATGAATGGGCAGTGAGGGAATTATTGGTCATGAAACTTCAATCCCATGATTTAGTTTACTTTGATAAAGAAAAGTAAAGAATATGTAGATTTTTATGTCAGTGATCATAATGTAAAAATGTGTGTTTTTAAACTGTTTTAAGAAAGATACTCCATGTGGGATGTTAGCCTAATATCTATGTTTTTCTTCATTTTATAGAAACTAAAGAAAGAGCTGGAGCGACTTAAAGATGATTTGGGAACAATCACAAATAAATGTGAAGAATTTTTCAGTCAGGCAGCAACCTCGCCATCAGTTCCTACCTTACGATCTGAGCTCAGTGTGGTCATTCAGAACATGAACCAAGTCTATTCTATGTCTTGCACCTACATAGATAAGTATGTAACTGCTTTTTATTTTTTAAAAGATTCATTCTTATTAATATAAGCATTAAATCTGATTTTGCATTAATAAGAAATATGTTAAGTATTTCTGTGGCTTTATGATGCTTCTTAGTGCTGAAGGGGAATGTGCCTCAGAGATTAGGGCACAGTGTATTATCTTCCTACACTTTGCCTGTAGTTTTGGTAGCTCACATGTTACAACCTACAGAATTTTCCACTCAAGCATGGACTAAACATAGTTTAAAAGAAGACCATCTTATGTTGAAATCCCTTGCTAAATTCTGCTTGTGGGCAGGGCATGGGTGGGGGCACATGTCTGTTAAGAAGAGAGTGTTCCAAAATGAAGACCGTGCAAATGTCATGTGTCATAATGGTGTTTCAGGGATAAATGCATTATAGGAAAAAAAAATTACCTAACATGAGGCTGTTGTTTAATCTCCCTTTTTTTAGGTTGAAAACTGTTAACTTGGTGTTAAAAAACACTCAAGCTGCAGAAGCCCTTGTAAAACTCTATGAAACTAAACTGTGTGAAGAAGAAGCAGTTACAGCTGACAAGAATAATATTGAGAATCTAATAAGTACTTTAAAGGTTTGAGTCTTACTTTTGGTTATTTTTCAAGATCATATTGTAAAAGTGTTTTTCTAGCAGGAAGCTCAGATCTTCAGATGTCAAGCATTAAATATCTTACTTTCAATGTACTTACATTTATTCTGTTTCGTATCTCTGTAATATCACAGTTTCCTGTAAATACCTTTAAGGAGAGGTCTCATTTTGAAGTTTGTTCCTTTTGACAGTAACTGTTGATAGTCAATTCGTGTTGGCAGCAATTGGCATTGAAGCTAACATTAAATTCTTTGTAATAGATTCACTTGCTAAAAGGTAGTTGTGTTAAAAAATCAAGGTGGTAAGTAGAAGTGTTAATCTAAGAAAAGATAAAGGTTGGAAATTGTACTCATCTATATTTATATTTCTACATATAAAGCACTGAGTAAACCTATTTAAATCAGTTGGGAAGTTATCTCAGTGATTTTTAATGCATGTATTCATTTTTTAACAATGGGATTTAGTAGATTTTAAAAAATGATGAGAAAAAAGACTTTTGCTTGACAAGGTAGCATCACTTATGGAATATATTTTATTTATTCTAAGGATATGCAAATTATAGTAGGTCAAACTTTATGAAATAGTCTTTTTTTTTTAGATCGGAGTACAGTCAAATGTTGGTAATTTCATAAGCTTCAACTCTGTATAATATTTTTATTTATGAAAGATATTCTTTCCTTAATGTGTATTTTATACCAGTTATTTGGGAATAAGTGGTAGACTTAGGTAAATAATACGCTTACCCAGTAATTGGTTGACATATTTTTATAACTTTTACCAATTAATGTATTTTAGCAATGGAGATCTGAAGTAGATGAAAAGAGAGAGGTATTCCATGCATTAGAGGATGAGTTGCAGAAAGCTAAAACCATCAGTGATGAAATGTTTAAAACATATAAAGAACGAGACCTTGATTTTGACTGGCACAAAGAAAAAGCAGATCAATTAGTGGAAAGATGGCAAAATGTTCATGTTCAGATTGATAACAGGTTAGTATACTTTATGCGCAGTTTTAGCACAGATTTAATCTCTGTGTATACAGGGTAAAATCTGTTTTTTTGTTTTTACTTCCATAGTTAATTCTGTTAATTTTAAGAGCTCTACCTAATTATATTTCTTTCTTACCAGGTGGTCTTCAGCAAGACATTCAACTTCAAAATACGTATTTTTCAATTCTGTGTTAGTAAAACTATGGATCTGTTCTGGCATTTGTATAGTTAGACTATTTGCTTTTTTGGAAGGAAAAACAGTGTAATTCTCTAATTATTACTAACTTAATATTCAAATGACTGACTTAGTAAGAGCATGGGTCATGCATTTTATAGGGCTGTCTGTAACAATCTGTACTATACATAAGATATATAAAGAAATTGATATAACCTGATGTTCATTTTAATTGAAAATAAAAGAAACTAAAAATTATCCACCCAGAGATTAAAACAAAAAAGTAAAAAGAAATGGGATGGTTTTAGGGCTCATCTGAAAAGAAACAGAATAATATCCTTTCTCATTCATTTTCATGTTTATGTTAATAAAAACATGAGCCCTGGTGACACAGTGATTAAAGTGCTTGGCTGCTAACCAAAAGGTCAGCGGTTGGAACCTACCAGCCACTCCTTGGGAAGAAGATGTAGCAGTTGACTTCCATAAAGATTTATAGCCTTGGAAACTCTATGGGGCAGTTCTATTCTGTCCTGTAGGGTCGCTATGAGTCAGAATTGACTCCCTGGCAGTGGTGGGTGGGTTAATAAAAATAAAATGGTTCTATGATATAGTGCCATTCTTGAGAAGTAAAATTAAGTTTAAATATACCTTTTCTCATCTTTGTAAAATACATGATAAATAGGTTTAATGTGTCAGTTTTAAAATCATAGAAACTGAGGTATTCAGTCACAGCTTATGGATTCACTGAACTACCTTGTCATTACTTCAAGTTGAACTTCCATTTGATGCAAGTCTTGGCTATTCAGGACATGCTGACTAGTAATAATTAAGGTTAAGTTTCCTGTTTTCCTGCTTTCTAGCTTTAGGCTCTTGCACTGTCCCTAGAATAATCAATACCACTAAGTTGCATAAATTGGATCCAAGGGCAAAATGTTTATATTCAACCCAATGTCGGTATGGAGCAACTTTTAATTTTTTGTACATACACCTGTTGCTGTGCTTATTGCATTGTAGTACGGTTGTTTTGTCTCTTCTTCTGTTCACTCTCCACCCTCTTATTGGCTATTGTTGGAAATAATGATGATTCTTTTATTATTTTCTTAGGCTACGAGACTTAGAAGGCATTGGCAAATCTCTGAAGTACTACAGAGATACCTACCACCCTTTAGATGATTGGATCCGGCAAGTTGAAACTACTCAGAGAAAGATTCAGGAAAATCAGCCTGAGAATAGTAAAACCCTAGCTACACAGTTGAATCAACAGAAGGTATGTAACAGCAATTCCTTGTACTAAGGTTGTATTTGCATTTGGTTGGTCATAAGCCTCAGCTTTGTTAATGATTCCTTTCCCGTGTTAAGAGAAAAAGTCAGCAATTACGTGGATAAAGGTGAAGAGTAAGTCACAAATATTAAAATCCTGCAACTGAAATCTGCATAATCACTTATTTTGATTTCTTAGAAGTTACTTTTGAAAACATAGGGAGTAAGGAACAATTTTCAAATTCCTAAAGATCATTTAATCATAGGTATGAAAATCTCTTTGATACTTTATTGTCTATAATAGTTTTGTGGGACCCTAAATTGAAAAAAATGGTTAGTAGTAGAAAATTAAACAGCCACATCTGACAGAGAGTTGAATACCTTGAGATTTGTGTTCCATCTTTAGGGGCCAGTAAGTTCTAGCTCTGTTTTGATCAGGAGTTGGTGGGGGGCCAAGGACTTCAAGTCTGCTTTTGTATAATTCCTGTGGAGTGTAATAATTTCTGCTTTGGAAATCCCATGAGTGGCTTAATCTGGAAGTTTGTCATTTACCAATAAGGCAAATAAAATATTAAGTTCAAAGGACCAAGAAGCTATACTGTTAAATGATGTGGATATTCCTTACTTCTAAGCATCTCAAGTAGGTAATAGAATAGCATAGAACTCTGTGTCCTTTTTCTTCTAAACTGTGTGTATTTATAGATGCTGGTATCTGAAATAGAAATGAAACAGAGCAAAATGGATGAGTGTCAAAAATACGCAGAACAGTACTCAACTACAGTGAAGGTAAGAAGATTGGAGTGTTGTATTAAATTTAACATTCAGGTATTTGATTCTACAGTGTAAAGCATTACATTAAAGCATTTACAAGTCTTTCATCTCTGATAAAAAGTAAAAAGAGAGAATCCTCATTTGAACTTTCTTTGACATTTAATCTATAATTCTGTGTGAAATCTGAGTCATGTGGCAGCCCCTAGTTCATTCATTCATTCTCCCTCTCCTTCCCCCTACTCATACCCACACAGTCCAGAATAAATACATAGCTCTGAAATTGGTCTCCATTCCTTTTTTTCTGTGTTTTCCTCTCAACTTTGCTAGAATATTCCATGGAAGATCTTCTGGTTTCTAACTTAGGGAACATTTCTCATGCTTTTTGAACTCATTGTTAGTGACTTTTCAGCTTTAGCCGTCCAGATCTACAGTTCCCTTATCTAGCTAGGGAAAGGGAGGGTGACTATAATTAGAAAGTCGTAAGAAAATGTTTCCATGAATTTCCAAATAGACTTGGAAACTTTTCTGACCACTCTAAAAGTTTCTGATTTTATCATCACCTTGGAAACATCTCCAGGATTGGGTGGATTCCTAAAATGCAGTTTTGTAATACTTTCTTTAAAGTTTTTCACTGAAACTAGGCTAAGCTCTAATTCTCTGTGTTGAATCACTATAGAACCAAGTTTTAGCAGTTTGCTTGAATTAATTTAATCTCATTGACTGCTTTATACAGGACTACGAATTACAAACAATGACCTACCGAGCCATGGTAGATTCACAACAAAAATCTCCAGTGAAGCGCCGAAGAATGCAGAGCTCAGCAGATCTCATTATTCAAGAGGTAATAAAAGTATGAGAGAGAGAGAGAAAGAGAAAGAAAACTAGGGAGAAGGGGAGGGGATGGAGATGGAAAGAGGGGGATAGGGAGGGAAAAAAACCCATTTACAATTTTTATTCAAAATCAGTTATTAATCCCAGAGCAAACTCTATGTACTTCTTGATTCAATTTAGAAGGCATTTGTTATTTAATGTGGTTTGCACAACAGTAATAAGCTCATTCCTATCCTGTTACCATTTGTAGCTGGAGAGTTGTGTGCTTTACTGTCTCAAAGCCTAGTTAACATTATAATTATTATTCAAAACTCATTTAATTCATCAAGGCAACTGGAAGTTGTTTTTATTATTATTTTTTTACTTGTAGTTCATGGACCTAAGGACCCGGTACACTGCTCTGGTCACCCTCATGACACAGTATATTAAATTTGCTGGTGATTCATTGAAGAGGCTGGAAGAGGAGGAGGTAACCATTAACTATGAACAGCTAACTAGAAAAGGAACTAAATATAAGCAGAAACTACAGTATGGCTTGCGAAATAAAAAAAAAGTTTCATACTAAATTTACATTGCTGATATGCAAGTAATTCTTAATTATAAAATTATAATGAAAAAAGAATGGAATCCAGGTTTTTTTTTTTTTAGGATTCTCTCAAAAAAAATTCATTTTAACTTTAGCACTCTAATATGATAGGGTTAATGTCTTAATTAAAGGATTCTACTTAAATTATAAAATGTTGGCAGAACTTATTACAGCTTTCTCTCAGCATTTGTTCTTTGAAGGATAAGTTGTAGTGAATGGTATTAAAATGTCTCCAGAAATATTACAAAAAGACATTTGTTTTATGCATTTTTAAATTCATTCACATCTTCAAAGAATTGAGGCATAAAGCAATTGATTTAAAAAGAGCAGGTGTTTGTATAGAACAATGCTACTTTTTGAAAATTATGGACTATTATTTTTTTGTTTGGGATTAGATCTTGTTTTTATTTTTGCCAAAAATATATGGTATGTAAGGTGAAATTCACTTTAGTTACCATTCTAATTTAGAGGACTTCCACCGTCTTAGTTTTGCATTTTAAAATTATATTTTGAAATAGGAATAGTAAGGAGTTACTTATAAAAATATATTGTCATAAAAGGCTAGCGTATTTAATCTTAAAGCTATTATGCTATGCTTGTTCTCTTGAAATCCTTTCTATTCCTAACCTCACAACAGACACAAATAGTATGCTGAATTCTAAAGTAAGTAAATCATGGGTCATTAGCCATTTTAAGTTGGAATATTGTTGAAATTGTGAAGGTAAATTAGACTTAGTATAACTCTGCTTATGTAACAAATGAACCAAAACAGTAGCAAATTTTTGATAGATCTTACTATCTTAGTTTCTAAAAATGTGACTGCTTTTGCAAACTATTTTAGTCTGTTCAGAGTTAACATTTTTCTGCAACTAAGCACTAACATAACTAATTGCAAGACTTTATAATCAGCTTCCTTTGTGCTCATAAAGGAAGAGAACCAGAATATTTGTGACTGTCCGAATAATTGGCATGCTTCCCGTTTATGAAGGGACACTATTTTTTTTTTAACATTTTACTTGTATATTTAGTGGTTAGATGTAAAATAAATTAATTTAGATCTTTCCTTTGTTACAGTGTATATATGATTGTACATATATGAGCCCCTTTGCTCAATTCATCTGATGAGGCTGAATACTAGAAGTTGATACAACCAAAAGATATTTCAAAAGACCTAAAATATGTATAAATTATACTTGCCTTTTTTAAAATGCCAAAGATTTATAGTGAATTAAAAATCACAAAAGTATAGTTTATGAAAGAACATTCAAAGAAATAAATTTTTTAAATTAGATTAAAAAGTAGACAAATAAGAAAACATTCCAGATTAAAAATCTACGACTTAAGGATCAAACGAATGGAATGTTTTATAAAAAGATACGTAGTTCCGCTTTCTGACTCAAAAGAGTAGTTTTTCTGGAACCGAATCTGTGAAGATGCCCTATGAGAAACCTTGGATTGAGAGCAGAATTTTCATAATAAACACAAGAAATCACAGAAAGATGCAAGTTAAATTCAAAAGGTAATGCCAAATTAGTTTGGAGGAATGTTAGTAAAGTATGTTAATTGCTGTTAGAAGGAATAAAGAGATTCTCTAGTCTATATTGAGAGCAAAATGTATTAAGTATTAATTGCAGAGATTAAAGGGACAGTATTTTTCTTTGGGGAACATTTAAAAAACCTGGGGAAGTTACTCTTATGTAAATAAGTTTGAGATCTACAAGAAAGCAAATCAAGCAGCAGGACTAAATTAGTTCTCATATTTTTTTCTAGTATTTTCTAAAAAGTTCCCTTATCTAGACAATTTGTAATTATCAATAAATCACTAAAATGACTGTAAGTAGCTGAGGGTTTAAAAAGTGGAAGTTTTCTCTGTGGAATATGTGTGTGTATATATGTATATATATTTTAACCTTAGAACATGACCAAGAAAAAATAAAGGCTCAGAACTTCTTAGCAAAAGCTAAGTTTTAACGGAGCATTGATAAGGAACTGAAATATAAGACCCTCTTAGAAATCATCTACTTGTAAAATATTGAAAACTTGATATCTGAACAGATAAAATGCTTCAGTGTCACTAAGTGTTGTTGCTGATAATAAAATAAAGAAAATAGGGACTATGATGAGATTTGTTTCTGTATGAGTTCTTGGTAAAAAACCATATTTAGGTTAGCAAAGAGAACAGCTGAAATTCTTATAAAACTTACTGGGGGTCAAGCAATTAGAGGAAGCTAAAGAAGATGTATGGTCTATAATAGAAATTAGATTCTTAAAATTCTACAGAGCTTCTCAATGAAAAAACTCTACTTTCTAGAATACTTTCTCTATTCCCGTTTAAATTGTTTCTGATTGTGATGATTTTGAGTTGATAACATGAAACTAACAACATTATGATATTAATAAAGGAAAATTAAATTGTAATTAAAAACTAACCATGATCATGTAGTTCTGTAGTCAAGGTAATGTATAATTCCTCCCAGCTGAGACTGATTCTGTATCATCAATAGAGTAAAAAAACATTTTCTTTGTTTCATTCTGTACACTAGGGCTGAGTCCCTAAGTGTGTTTAATAAAGCGGTTCTAGTTAACACATATCTTTATTTATGGAGTGTCTAAAGGTACTTGTCAAAGTGGATTCATAGGAGGCATGTGATTAACAACAGCAACAAAATCTGTGAGTATATGCAAGAAGCACATCTTTTCTAAAACACCAGGGACTGCAGCTGCCTTTGCATTAGCAATTCTGATTATTAAAATTGTCATGATATGGCACCTACAAGAAAGTAAGGAAGTTGACTTTAGAATTATACATTTTTCATGTAAATTTTCTCCTGTGTTAAGTATTATTCTCTGATTTGGCTCCCTGTTCCAAAAGTCTGTATTTTGTTTTTTTAACCATAAAACAGCGGAGCATAAATATCATCTTGAATTTCATTGGGACTGATACTAAAATCTAAATTCTTTAGTATCATGTGGTTCCTGTATGTCGTATACTCTTCTTGGCTTGTAGAGCTAAGTGGCGTGTGAGCGTAGAAAGAGCAGTATTGTGAGAGTTTTAGTTCCTGCTTTGTAACTAACCCATTGTGTGAATTTGCACCTCAATTTTTTCATCTGTAAAAGGTTGGGGTCATGCTATATGTTTTGTAAGGCCTCTTCTTGCTGTAGAATCCTCAGCTTGCTAATTTTTTAAATAAAATTATTCCTGAGAGACAAAGATTCTTCAGTTCAAAAAACCTGTCATGGAGGTTTTTTTGTCTTCTACTGTTGACTTTTTGAAGCTTCCTCTCAGAAGAAGGTGGTGGTGGTGGTGGTGGTGCTTGTTCTGCCTTTGGGTTCACTTGGTTTTGTAACTACTTTTATGAACACTGCTTCAGATTTTGTAAGATGAATTTGAGTAGAACAGGTTTGACACTTTCAAAACATCTCTTGTAGATTAAAAGGTGTAAGGAGACTTCTGAACATGGGGCATATTCAGATCTGCTTCAGCGTCAGAAGGCAACAATGATTGAGAATAGCAAACTCACAGGAAAGATAAGTGAATTGGAAAAAATGATAGCGGAACTAAAGAAACAAAAGTCCCGAGTAGAGGAAGAACTTCCGAAGATCAAGGAGGCTGCAGAAAATGAATTGAGAAAGCAGCAGAGGAACGTAGAAGATATTGCTCTGCAGAAAATAAGAGCTGAAAGCGAAGGCAAGAAGTATCGCAGGGAACTCGAGACCATAGTGAGAGATAAGGAAGCCGCGGAACGGGAGCTGGAGCGGGTGAGGCAGCTCACATTGGAGGCCGAGGCCAAAAGAGCAGCTGTGGAAGAAAACCTCCTCAATTTCCGGAATCAGTTAGAGAAGAACACTTCTACAAGGAGAACTCTGGAAGATCATCTTAAAAGGAAAGATTCAAGCCTTAATGACTTGGAGCAACAAAAAAATAAGTTAATAGACGAGTTAAAAAGGAAGAAAGACAGCGAGGAAGAACTCTTAAAGCTGATAAAGCAGATGGAAAAGGACCTTGAATTTCAAAAGCAGGTAGCAGAGAAACAGCTGAAGGAAAAACAGAAAATTGAATTGGAAGCAAGAAGAAAAATAACAGAAATCCAGTATCCATTTCGAGAAAATGGATTGCCAACTAGTGCAGGTCTTCAGACAGAGCATGACAAACATAAAGCAGAACTCAAACAGCAGGTAGATGAACTAATGGTTGCCAACAGAAAGGCTGCAAAAGACATGAGAGAACTGAAGTATGAACTGAATGCCCTCCAGCTTGAGAAGACATCATCTGAGGAAAAGGCTCATTTGCTGAAAGAAAAACTAGACGAAACCAATAACACCCTAAAGTGCCTTAAACTGGAATTGGAAAGGAAGGATCAGGTAGAGCAGGGGTATTCTCAGCAGCTCAGAGAACTTAGTAGACAGTTGAATCAGACCACAGATAAAGCTGAAGAGGTCATGCAAGAAGCTAATGATCTTAAGAAAATAAAGCACAATTATCAGGTGGAATTAGAATCTCTCCATCAGGAAAAAGGTAAACTACAAAGAGAAGTAGACAGAATTACTAGGACACATGCCATCACTGAGAGGAATATTCAACATTTAAATTCACAAATCAGTTCTTTTCAGGATGAGAAGGAATTTTCTAATGAAAGAGCACGAGTCTGCCAGAGAAAATCAGATCACCTAAAAGAACAGTTTGAGAAAAGCCACGAGCAGTTGCTTCAAAATATTAAAGCTGAAGAAGAAAACAGTGATAAAATCCAAAAGCTTAATGAAGAATTGGAGAAAAGCAATGAATGTGCAGAAATGCTAAAACAAAAAGTGGAAGAGCTGACTAGGCAGAATAATGAAACCAAATTAATGATGCAGAGAATTCAGGCTGAGTCAGAGAATGTAGTTGTAGAGAAACAAGCTATCCAGCAAAGATGTGAAGCGCTGAAAATTCAGGCAGATGGTTTTAAAGAGCAGCTACGTAATACAAATGAACACTTGCATAAACAGACAAAAACAGAACAGGATTTCCATAGGAAAATTAAATGCCTAGAAGATGACCTGGCCAAAAGTCAAAATTTAGTTAGTGAATTTAAGCGAAAGTGTGACCAGCAGAATATTATCATACAGAATACTGAGAAAGAGGTTAGAAATCTGAATGCTGAGCTGAATGCTTCCAAAGAGGAAAAGAGACTAGGAGAGCAGAAAGTACAGTTACAGGAAGCTCAGGTGCAAGAGTTAAATCACAGGCTGAAAAGGGTACAAAATGAGCTACACCTGAAGACTATAGAGGAGCAGATGACACACAAAAAGATGGTTATGTTTCAGGAAGAATCTGATAAATTCAAACGCTCAGCAGAGGAGTTTCGGAAAAAGATGGAAAAATTAATGGACTCCAAGGTCATCACTGAAAATGACATTTCAGGCATTAAACTTGACTTTGTGTCTCTTCAGCAAGAAAACTGCAGAGCGCAAGAGAATGCTAAGGTTTGTGAAACAAATATTAAAGAACTTGAAAGACAGCTTCAACAATATTGTGAGCAAATACAAAAAGGGCAGAATGTGGAAGCAAATCATTACCAAAAATGTCGGAAACTTGAGGGTGAGCTGATGGCTCGGAAACATGAAGTTGAAAACCTGAAGCAAAAAATGAATCAACAGATAAAGGAGCATGAACATCAGTTGATTTTGCTCCAGTGTGAAATCCAAAAAAAGAACACAGCCAAAGACTGTACCTTCAAACCAGAGTTTGAGATGACAGTGAAGGAGTATCAACACTCTGGAGAGCTCCCTTCTGGGATCACGGGGCAACTTCACCCAAGGGACAGATCGCCTCTGTTGAGATGGGCTCAAGAACCACAGCAATTGGAAGAAAAATGGCAAAATCGAGTTGTTGAACAAATACCAGAAGAAGTCCAGAAAAGCCAGCAGTGTTACTCTGAGTATTTTTCTCAAACAAGCACCGAATTAGAGATAACTTTTGGTGAGACAAATCCTATTACAAGACTGTCAGAGATAGAGAAGATAAGAGATCAAGCCCTGCACGATTCCCGACCACCTAATGTTAGGTATCAAGATGACAAATGTGAAGTGGAATTGGTGAAGCTTTTGACATCCTTAGAGGTATACTATGTGTTCTGAGACCTTATTAGCTACCTCATGCCAAGTTTCTCCTTTTCTTGTTTCCTTTCACTCCTCATTTTTTTTTTTTAAATCTGTCTTGAAGGTGTCTGGCTATAATTCTGACAGAAAAAAAAAATGCTATGATTTTTTTTAGCATCTTGAATCTTTATTATAAATTATTATTCTTTAATTTTTAAATGTTTGAGATTAAACACACAGATGTAATAGGTGTTCTGTTATACCTGTTGGAATTTATATTTAGAAAAACATGACCATAAAAAGCTAGAAGAACCAAGCAGTTAACTTTAATTTCTAATACGTTCTGTGGCTAAATTTCATCTCAACCTTTTAAAACATATCATTTTAATACCTTTGTTACCTAAAGTAAACTTTAGACTCTCAAAATTGTATTTCTGAATTCTCCTAGGTTTGAAATTTTTCTTCTATCATCTATTATTATAGGAATTATGCTTGAATTGAGAATGTGTAAAATGACAGTGTTCTTAGGTGACTTTTAATGTCTTATAAATTCCCATTACAGATAGCTAAGAACAAGCAACATGATATGCACGCGGGATTCACAACATTAAAACAAGAAAAGAACCCAGTTCTCAGTGCTGAAGAATGGATGCTTGATGGGTCCAGAGCATCTAGTGGAGTCAAGAGAGATTTTCTTAAGAAAGGCTTAGAACCAGAGACTTTACAGAACTTTGATGGAGATCACGCGTGTTCAGTTAGGGATGATGAATTTAAATTTCAGGGGCTCCGGCACGCTGTGACTGCCAGGCAGTTGGTTGAAGCTAAGCTTCTGGACGTGAGAACAATTGAGCAGTTACGACTCGGTCTTAAGACTGTTGAAGAAGTTCAGAAAACTCTTAGCAAGTTTTTGATGAAAGCCACCTCAATTGCAGGGCTTTACCTAGAATCTACCAAAGAAAAAATTTCGTTTGCCTCGGCAGCCAAGAAATTCATAATAGATAAAATGATGGCGTTAGCATTCTTAGAAGCTCAGGCTGCAACAGGTTTTATAATTGATCCCATTTCAGGTCAGACATACTCTGTTGAAGATGCAGTCCTTAAAGGAGTTGTTGACCCTGAATTCAAGATTAGGCTCCTTGAGGCAGAGAAGGCAGTCCTGGGATATTCATATTCTTCTAAGACATTGTCAGTATTTCAAGCTATGGAAAATAGAATGCTTGACAGACAAAAAGGTAAACATATCTTGGAGGCCCAGATTGCCAGTGGGGGCATCATTGACCCTGTGAGAGGCATCCGCATTCCTCCAGAAATTGCTGTGCAGCAGGGCTTGTTAAATAATGCCATTTTACAATTTTTACACGAGCCATCAAGCAACACAAGAGTGTTTCCTAATCCCAACAACAAGCAAGCTCTGTATTACTCAGAATTACTACGGATGTGTGTATTTGATGTAGATTGCCAGTGCTTTCTGTTTCCATTTGGGGAGAAGAACATTTCCAATCTCAATGTAGAGAAAACTCATAAAATTTCTGTAGTAGATGTTAAAACAGGAGCAGAACTGACCGCATATGAGGCTTTCCAGAGAAGCCTAATAGAAAAGAGTACATATCTTGAGCTTTCAGGGCAGCAGTATCAGTGGAAAGAAGCCACATTTTTTGAGTCCAATGGGCATCCTTCTCATATGCTGATTGATTCTAAAACAGGATTACAGTTTAATATTGATGAGGCTATAGAGCAGAGAATAGTTGACAAAGCCTTGGTCAAAAAGTATCAGGAAGGCCTCATCACACTTACAGAACTCGCTGATTCTTTGATGAGCCGGCTAGTTCCCAAGAAGGATTTGCATAGTCCAATTGCAGGGTATTGGCTGACTGCTAGCGGGGAAAGGATCTCTGTACTAAAGGCCTCCCGTAGAAATTTGGTTGACCGGATTACTGCTCTCAGGTGCCTTGAAGCCCAGGTTAGTACAGGGGGGATAATTGATCCTTTTACTGGCAAAAAGTATCAGGTGGCCGAAGCTTTGCATAAAGGCCTAGTTGATGAGGGGTTTGCCCAGCAGCTGCGACAGTGTGATTTAGTAATCACAGGGATTGGCCATCCAGTTACTAACAAAGTGATGTCTGTGGTGGAAGCTGTGAATGCAAATATCATAAGTAAGGATATGGGAATCCGATGTTTGGAATTTCAGTACTTGACAGGGGGGCTGATAGAGCCACAAGTTCACTCCAGGTTGTCAGTTGAAGAGGCTCTCCAAGTAGGTATTATAGATACTCTCATTGCTATGAAACTCAAAGATCAAAAGTCATATGCCAGAAATATAATATGTCCCCAAACAAAGAGAAAATTGACATATAAAGAAGCCTTAGAAAAAGCTGATTTTGATTTTCACACAGGGCTTAAACTCTTAGAAGTGTCTGAACCCTTGATGACAGGAATTTCCAGCCTCTACTATTCTTCATAATAGAACAGCTCTCCTACTGTTTAAATAACTTTGTGTAGGGGGCAATACTGTCTAGTTATGCAATCTGTCCAAAGTATGATTGTATTAATTAACTATATGGTCTAGTAATTATGTAACATCCTTGAAATACTGTTTCTTTCTTGAGGGTAGGAAATTGCTGACTGCTATGAAGAGAAAATAATTTTTAAATTAAAAATAGCAAAAGATTAACTACCTAAAAATGGTTCCATTTAGCTTTGCGGTTAGTTTTTTTAATCTTGCCCACACTGAAATGAAACTGGAGTATGGGATAAGATTGACGAGCTCCACCAAAGTCACTGCATCATTTCTTCAGAATTCTGTTCATCCCTAAGTAGATCCAGCCTGATGTTAAAAAAAAAAAAAAAAAGCCTGTTGCCATCAAGTCAATTCTGCCTCATAGTGACCCTATAGGACAGAGTAGACCTGCCCCATAGGGTTTCCAAGGAGCGGCTGGTGAATTTGAACTGCCGACATTTTGGTTAGCAGCCCAGCTCTTACCACTGTGCCTTCAAGTGCTACATTGCACTCACTGAAAGAGGATTTCCAAAACACCATGAAAACGAAGAGAAAGACGTCAATTTGTTCCCACCTTCATAAGGCTGTGTGTTGCAGATTGCCTCGAAAAATGGAGAAGTTTTGAGTCTTTCTGTATATAGTGAACCTCTTTACATATTAAAATGTTTGCTCTCATTTCTTGTTTCTGCTTAAGACTTTGGAATTAAAAGCTAACATTATGAAAGTATTGTGTGCTGGAGGAGGGGGAAGGATTTTTTTTTCCACTCTGTAATTTTTATATGTATGTAGACATTCTTTATTCGTTCAGCTTTACATTGATAATCTTCCCAAGACAATCATGATTGTAGTGCTAATGCAAAGGCAGCAATTCGAAGATCTTCTAGTGCTTCATGAATAAAGTTGAGTTTTTTTACTTGTCATATTGATGGGACAGCTGGGAGGTTAGACTGATCATTAAAGAATGTCACAGCTTTCTTTGCCAGCATAAACATTTTGGAAGTACATCTGCTATGCGACATGATACACATGGTTAAGTGAATGAATAAAATGTCTCAGTAAACTGTGTGATAAAAAGAACATGTTTACATTCTTGTTTTCTGTGGAGAAATCAGTTTACTATTTGGTTATTTACTGGAATATATCTTTTTTACCACTCAAACCTGTTAGAAGTCACTGGAAGAAGAAAAGAAAGAACATGTTGAAAAAGCCAGAGAATTGCAGAAATGGGTATCAAATATCAGCAGGACTTTGAAAGATGGAGAGAAGGCTGGAAAATCTCTCTTTAAGCAAAAGGTATTCACTGAGGTCCTGACTTAATAATAAATAATACTTAGAATTTACTGAGTTGATAGAATCCACCTGGCACAATGTTCTTTACATTCATTTCCCCCATTTTATAGGCAGTTATGATGAGGATCAGAGAGGTTAGGTAGCTTGCCTAAGGGAGCAAAGCTAGTATGTGGCATAATAATGTATTTGATTCCAAAGCCTGGACTCTAAAGTAGACTAATATGTGTACTGCTTCTTCTGATAGTTAGGTCTGCTTCCTGATTATTATGATGAGAATTGCTAAAGAGCTGAGTCATCTTGTTTTGTGCTCTGAGTAAATCCGTGTTCTCTCATACCACAAAGATACACAGTCTCATTTTTACAGATGTAAATATAAAAAGTTTTAAGAACAATGCAAATAAAAATTAGGATATTAACATTTTTGAGCATGACTTTAGCTGTCCTTTTCTGGATCTTTGCTATTTTATAAAGAGGTTTTCTACAGTTAATCACTAGAATTTCTAGATTCTTTCCCTTACCCAAAGTGAATTCTTTCATCCTTGGGCCATATTCTGTGCCTCAGCCATTTGGTATTAGTTGGATGGCTGCAACCTGTGGGATGTTGGTGCTCCGTGGAGTCTGTTGAACTGCACCACTTGAGGTTCTTAGTATGTTGGTAGTTAAGGTATAAATTCCAGTATTGCTGCTGTTGATGATAGCACTAGAATTTCTGCTGTATTTAAAAAAATAAATTTCCACTAAGATAAACAGCATTTTTCTCAAAAAATACATTCCCTACACTGTCCTCCTTTGCCCTGCCAGACATTTGGAAATTTTAGGCACTTTCATCTCAGTATTTAGCTCCCTTTTCTAGCTACGCATCTGATTACAGCTAATTCACTTGTAATCACTTAAAACACACATTGTTAAACTGATTAAATAGGGAAAAACTTCAGTGTCTTATCTAATTTTGCCTATGATGTGAAACAAAGGTACCTTGGAGAGATTTATAGACTTGAGTATGTATTTGAAAAATTATTCAATGGAAATAAAGCTGAATTAGTTCATAGTCTTACACACTGCATTTTATATGGTGTGGAAGAAATATAAAGTTGAAAATCAATTACATTTTAATTAAATTAAAAGCTAAACATCCTTCAAAGTAATTGTCTGTATCTGTAAATGTTTAGTTTAAAATACCATCCCTCCCCCCCTTTGAAGAACACATGTCTTTTGAGAAATGTGGATTATGAACCCTCTGGCATTTTCCTTTCTCTAGTTGTAAATTCTACAAAACATTAGTAGATTAGTTTTGGACCCAGTAAACATAAAACTTTAAAAAAAAGTAGTTCATGGCCTAATCTCTAAGAACACTTGATGGTCTCTCTGTTTAAGGAAATTTAAGATAATATGATGTGAATAATAAATCAGAAATCAGTATGGCTTCATGACTACCTATCCAAACAAATCCATTGCTTATGGAGTTGATACTGACTCATAGCCACTCTGTAGGACAGGGTAGAACTGCCCCAAACTTGATGGAAGCAGCCTGCCACATCTTTTTCCTGTGGAGCAGCAGTGTGTTTGAACCACCAACCTTTTGGTTAGCAGCTGAGCACTAAACCACTGAGCTACTAGGGCTCTTAAAAAAAACATTGTTACCAAGACAATTTTGACTCACAGCAACCCTTAACAGGACAGAGTAGAACTGCGCCATAGGGTTTCTTAGGCTGTAATTTTTACGGAAGCAGACTGCTACACCTTTCTCCTGCAGAACTGCTGGTGGGTTTGAACCATTGACCTTTCTATTTTTGGTTAGGTGCCCAGTGCTTAACCACTGCATCACCAGGGCTCCTTATGATTATCTATAACCATGAAAAATAAACTTTAAATAGAATACATGCGAGGAAATATACCTTTTCATTGGTCCATTCTTTTCACTCATTTCTGCTCACTTAAAAGAACAGCAGTTAATTTCCAGAATAGGTGTTCATAGATGATACACTGAGATGTTAGGAGAAAGTGCTACAACCTCTTACTTTTCCCAAAACAAATCAATTTTAGTCCCCTGACCATCACAAATGACTTTTGCAGGTGTGGGTTTTAGTAATAGAAATGATTTATTCTTGGATGCAGACTTACAGATAAATGCTTCTACATTTTTGTTTCAAAAGGAGCAGTGTGTCCAGGAGCTAGGGAGAAGGAAGATACTCTTTTGAAGTGTCCACATTCATGTGTCATTTTGAGTACTACGATGTCCAGGGATAACACTACACAAGTGCTGAACCACGGGCCCCCCGGGGTGTTAAGGCAGCCTTACAGTTGTGCTGGGACAAATGCAAGAACCACTTAATATTGTATTATTATTTCCTCATGGAAATAATGGTGTTATGGATAGGTAGAGTGGCTTTTCGTAATCCTCCATCTAAATAAAGTATTTTTCTTTTCCAACCCTGTACACTGGTAATGCAGTGGTTATGGATGAGTCACCCAGAAAGTAGAGCTTTTACTTGATTAGTTTTAAAAAATTGCTGTTTAGTCTTATGAGGGGAAAGTTTGATGTATTGTCTTTACCTTGTAGCTTTCCAGTGAGGAAATAACATCCAAGAAGGAACAATTGTCAGAAGCACTTCAAACCATGCAGCTATTTTTGGCTAAACACGGTGACAGGTATGTTGGTTTTCATTAGCCCTTCTATTCAAGGCATGGAAGTGGTCTTGAAAACATTCAGCAAAGCAGAAGGTGGTAAACTTTAACTGAGATGTTTTTTAATTGGACTCAGTTGGATGTAATCACAATTCAGTTATTAATGTAGTAGCATAAACAATTTAATTATCATTTTTAGCCTTTACTACAACCCTGCAGTGTACATGTTACCTATATTTTACTGATATGGAAACAGATTCAGAGAGGCTAAGGATCAATAGCTAGTCATTGGTGGAGTTAAGACTCCAAGCCAAGTCTTAGTCCTAAGTGGTGCTCTCTGAGACTTACCTTGTGTAAAGTATGTGTATATGTGTTCTTCATTTTTTCAGCTGAGACCTATGGCAACATGATTTCCTATATACTGAGTTTACATTTGCAACAATGTACTTCGTATATATTAGCCAGTGACTCAGGCAGCGAAGGAATCAACCCTTTTCTAAAACCCTTTTTGGACTTCCCCTTTGTGATTATTCCGGGGTGACTTTATATTGTACCTTTGAGAATCAGATTGATTCCCTTGTGGGTTTCCTCTTTGTTCATCCTTCAGATTAAACAGGTTTCATCTAGAGTAATGGTGCCTTACTGTTTCTCTTCCATGCCGGAAATAACAATGGGGTCTTTCCCTCTGTCAGATAACAATAATTGTTATTTTGGGCATTTGTATATGCTGTAGGGTTGCTATGAGTCGGAATCGACTTGATGGCAGCAGGGTAGAGAGGTGCTAAGATATCAGTTGATGCCTTTTCCTCCAGTCCCTTTCTCAGGCAAGGAAAGGATTCCTAGATGTTTTCCAGATCATCCTTGATCTTTATATATGATCATTTCTAAGGCCAGAGCAGTCTCTATGGGTGGTCAGATTTTATTTTATGACTGTGTACTTTACAAAGTCAGAGCCTAATATATCATCTTTATCACTTGAAGACTTGTATTACTCTTTTCATACTTTCTGGTTATTTTAGAATGACAGATGAAGAAAGAAATGAATTGGAAAAACACGTGAAAGCTCTTCAAGAAGATTATAATTTATTATTCAGTGAATCTCTGAAACAACTGCAGGAAGCAAAAACCTCAGAGGATATAAAGATAGAAGAGAAGGTAATATTTAAAATGAGGAATTTTCAAGATTCTTTGTTTTATTGCATGGTTGTGGAAAAGAAATGACCTTGGATTTTGTACATGGAAAAAATGCTTGGAGATTTCAGCATTGTTTATTAAATGCAGTCTTACACATGCTGGTCATCAGTTTCTGTGACATCTTAATAATCTCTGCTTGCATGGTAAAAGAAAGAATCATTCATTGTTCTAACTCTTCTCTTTAAAAGCCATTCTTCTACTGCTATATGAGGTATTTTATTATATAAATATGATGTTATAAAACAGCCTATGGGTTGTCTCTAAAGGTGGCATTGGAATTTTATAGGATTGGTTTGATTTACAGAGATGCCCATGAGGCTTATTTGCGTAATACTAGACCATATGTTTTAGCGAAGTGGCCATAGAAGGCTCTTAAAATATAACAGAAGTCACTTAAAATTTGGCTTGAACTTAACTTTTATAATCTGATAATACATATCAGTATACCCAAAACAATATTCAATATTCAGAAAGTTATGTTTACATTTAATTTTTTGCTCCAGAGAATACTTTCTACATAATTTTGGTGTAGTTTGAGGGTATGTAATAATTTTTCTGGTTTCTTAGTTTTTGTCTGTCTTTAAAAAAAGTCTGTATGCTGTAAACATCAATAGCATGGGGTTTGATACTTCTCTTTCATGTCAGTAGACTCTAATCTCACCCAACTGCAGAAAGCATGATTTACCTTCTAGGTCTGAGCTCTGTTTTCTCACTCCCATCATCTACTCTGTTGTGTCCTCACTAACCTTGTTAATGTACACAATATTAAGTTTTCAATTCACAGATGCATGTTGTTTTCAAAGCTTTTATCACATCCTGTGCTGTTGAATAGATCACTGACATAGATCACTTGCGCATTTGAGCTGCCTAACATTCACAGAATTGCTGCGCCCTGGTAAGTAGAGGATTTTTATGTCAAAGTGTGTTATTTATTTATGAAAACACAAAATAAGTTTCATGAAACTCTGCCCCGCCCTTGTATAATGGACTGACCTGAAATTTTTGCATTTCCCTTTCAGCTGGATAAGGTGATTGCAGGTACCATTGATCAGACAACGGGAGAAGTCCTTTCAGTCTTTCAGGCAGTTTTAAGAGGCCTCATTGACTATGAAACAGGAATCAGGTTGCTTGAGACACAGCTAATGATTTCTGGTCTAATTTCACCAGAATTAAGAAAGTGCTTTGACCTCAAAGATGCTGAAAGTCATGGCCTTATTGATGAACAAATTCTGTGCCAACTCCAAGAACTAAATAAAGCTAAGGAAATTATTTCTACTGTGTCATCTACCACAGTTCCACTGCTGGATGCTCTGGCTCAGGGTGTGATATCAGAATCCATGGCCATCAGAGTTCTGGAGATACTACTTTCCACAGGCTTTCTGGTTATTCCAGCCACAGGAGAACAGTTGACTCTACAGAAGGCTTTCCAACAGAACTTGGTTTCCTCAGCATTGTTTTCTAAAGTCCTGGAAAGGCAAAATATGTGCAAAGATCTAATTGACCCCTGCACTTCTGAGAAGGTGTCTTTAATAGATATGGTACAAAGAAGCGTCCTACAGGAAAACACTGGGATGCGGCTTCTACCTGTGCGACCACAAGAAGGCGGCAGAATAACATTAAAATGTGGAAGAAGCATAAGCACTTTAAGGGCATCTCATGAAGGTCTCATAGACCGTGAAACCATGTTTAGATTATTAGGTGCACAGCTTCTTTCTGGAGGTCTGATTGATAGTAACTCTGGTCAGAGAATGACTGTTGAAGAAGCTATGGCAGAAGGAGTGATTGACAGAGACACAGCCAACAGTATTCTCACATATCAGGTTCAAACAGGTGGAATCATTCAGTCAAACCCTGCTAAACGTTTAACTGTAGATGAAGCAGTCCAGTGTGATTTAATAACTTCCAGCAGTGCCCTTTTGATACTAGAGGCTCAGCGAGGCTACGTTGGACTCATTTGGCCCCACTCTGGTGAAATATTTCCCACATCTTCCTCCTTGCAGCAAGAATTGATTACAAATGAATTGGCATACAAAATCCTGAATGGCAGGCAGAAAATAGCTGCCCTTTATATTCCAGAAACTTCTCAAGTCATTGGTTTAGATGTTGCTGAACACCTAGGGATTATAGATAATAACACAGCATTGATTTTAAAAAGTATAGTCCTGCCTGATAAAATGCCAGATTTGCAAGATTTAGAAGCTTCTTGTAAAAATGCTAGAAGATGGATCTCCTTTTGTAAATTCCAACCATCTGCAGTCTGTGATTACAGCCAGGAAGAGGATGTTTTTGATGAAGAGCCAGTGGCAACTCGGAGCTCAGAACAAACTAAAAAATTATTCCTGTCTTACTTGATGATAAATAGCTATATGGATGCAAACACAGGGCAAAGGCTTTTGTTGTATGATGGAGACTTGGATGAGGCTATTGGTATGTTACTGGAAGGCTGTAGTGCAGAATTTGATGAGGGCACACTCACAAAAGAATGTTTTGATTTGAGACCCTCTAGTGTCTTTCTTAATAATGCTCCATGTATAGAAAATAAAGACAAGGATGAAAGTACAGCTTCACCAAGTAGTTTTGATCAATGTTATTACAACGAATCTGAACATGAAGAAACTACTGAAAATAAAAAACACGTCATTGATGAAGAGCTTTGTGAAGTGGGAAATAATGTTACCAATAGTGAATTTTACCAGTCAGAAAGCCTGGAAAATATAGTAACAATTGGTCATAAAGTTAACAGCTCATCTGGTGTGTGTGTTCCAAATCCCAAGTTGTATTTCATACAGCCTGAATGTGCAGAAGTTACCATGTTTAGACATGACTCTGGAAACATACTTAAAAACTGTGAAAATCAAAGTCGAGTTGAAACAAATGAACATGCAGATGAATGTAGTCATTCTGAAAACACTCAGAACTTTGCAAGTGATTTGATAACAGATTCGAATGTGAAATCAAACACTAGTAGAGTCTGTGATCTGAATGAAACAAAGAATGAAGATCATATAAACAAAGCTTCAACCCTCTTTGACTATTCACCTATACTAAGTGCCCTCTTAAGTCATGATAAATTGAGGAATGATCAGGAAAGTTTTAATGATGTTTGCATCCCAAAGAGCAATGGAAATAAGTGTAGAGCCTCTGCATTGACACACAGTGACCAAACCATGTTATTAGGTAAAAAAATGGGAGAAAAATTTCAAGATCAGTTTCTGGGAATTGCAGCTATTGACATTAGTTTACAAGGACAACACTCGGGACAAGAATCTCTAAATAATGACTGTAGTAATCCTCAGTTACAACAACTGAATGATAAATACATTTCAGATACTTATGGTGAGGACGAAAAAATACATGCTGCTTTTCAGCAGAAACCCCAAGACAAACAAAATGAGTCCGAAATGAAAGAGTACTCTCATGCCATGACTCCAAAGGGTGATATTGATAAGGCCAGTGTATCTCATATTTGTGATACACCATTGCTTGAAGAAATTATCAGTGCTGGTGACTATGAAACATCACTACTGGATGATCAGGAGAATGACACAGAAACAGACACTGACAGTGATGATTTTTATGACACTCCCTTGTTTGAAGATGAAGACCATGATTCTCTCCTTCTTGAAGGTGGTGATCGTGATTGTCTGAAACCTGAAGACTATGACACACTGCGAAAGGAAAATGATGGGACAGCTCCTCTTGGAGATATTTTTTATGATGTCTCAAAGGAGAATGAAAATCCCATGTTTGTACAGCAGGGACTAGTTGGTAGCTTAAGTGTGAGGGAGAAAGCACAGCCTCTTCAGGATTTTCCTATAGGTATTGAGATAGCTGAATTAGATTCTGGTGAAAGAATGTATTTAGATTCACTTGGCTCAGACAAATTAAATGGACGGTTGCTGGAAACCATAGCAAAAAGCACAGATAACCTTGAAGGTGATGAGTCTGACTCATTGATTGATTATGAAAGTGTAGAAAGAAAAGAGAGCTTCAGTGTTTCATTAAAATTTGATGACACTGGCAGTTGGAGAGGAAGAAAAGAATGGGACACTGGAAAAGAATGTAAATCTGATATTGATCATTTAGATTCTATGCAAAGTGAAGACCGTCGTGGGGGTTACGTATGTGACAGTGATGATCAGGATGACAACGATGATGATGATGGTCATGACGTAAAAGAAGGAAGAAGAGGAGATGAGTATGAAAACCCTCTACACCACAATGAAGTTGAAAGTGCGGGTATCCAGTTGTGTGCTACCACAAGTGAGAAGGAAAACAGTGATGAAAATCAAAGTGTTAATGAAATGATCTGCCTGGATAAAATGAACAATTATAGTTCTTTAGAAAAACAGCAAAGTTTAAATGTTTTACAGGTAGAATCAACTAGTAAAAGTAGCTTAGTTACTGAAAGAGGCACCCATCCAGAATATGCAGCTGAGATTATTGGAAACAGCAGAGAAAATCTCTTAAATCGTGAGATGACACTTAAGGATATATTGCTGCCTATCATTAAAAGCACTGAATCAGAAAAAAGCTTTAGCCCTGTGGACATATTACATAATGCTAATATCAGTTCAGCTTCTGATTTAGATAATGATTCAATGGATACAAAATTTAAGTTGATTCAAAGACCAGAATCTGTGGACTCTGTGAAAGGTGGAGATCAATATTTTGATGATGTGACACCTAAAGTTGACTCATCTTTTGATAAATTCGCTTTTTATGAGCTTGATTTAATAGGAAAACCTGCTGAGGAAAGCCATTTATCATCTGTAGCACCTGTAACTGACAAAGATCATCAAAGAAATAAAAGAGACAAATATGGAACACCAATTCAGAAAATGTGCTCAGTGAAAGGAGAAGAGCTTATGGAAAGTCTAGTAGAAGAGGATAATAAGTATCTCAAACTTTGGTCTAATAAAGGTACAAGGGAGAGTCTTGATTTAGTTAATAGTCAGTTTCCATCGCCACAGATCACAAGCAATGAAGAACATAATAAGAAAGGAAACCTTAAAAAAGCGACTGTAACTCTTGAAGATGAACCAAAGAATCTACAAACACTGGTCAGTAAAAGTCCTGTTCAGTTTGAGAATCTTGAAGAAATATTTGACACATCAGTTTCCAAAGTGATCAGTGACTGTACTATTTTGTCTGAAAGGAATACAAGTATTAAGAAAGATTCATTCACTGATGAACCTGATAAAGAACCTGATCTATTTACTTATTTAAAACATTGTGCTAAAAGTATAAATGCAAAAGCTGCACTGAAACCAGATGTAGACGTTTGTCATTATCCTGGTAAAAAAACAGACATAGAAGATGGGCTAAATGTCACTCAACAAACTGAATTGAGTTCAGATATCCCTAGCTGTGTTTTAATAGCTGCCTCTCCCATGAAAGAACACTTGCAGTTAGGAATTAATAATGCAAAAGAAAATACAACTCTTAACGAAGAAGACTCTGCTATGAATGAGATGGTCCAAAGTAATGATCTTCGAACTAAAGAAGCTGTCTCAGAAGGAGAAACAGAAATTCCTCAGTTCACACCAGAAAATAATGAAACCACACATTCAGTCTTACCTCTTAGAAGTGTGGAAGCCCTGGGGGAAAATACTGATTTTATGCAGGCAGAAATCTGTACAAATGGAGTAAGAAATAACTCCAGTAACACGTTAGACACTGATTACTCATTGTTAGAAATTAAAAGTAATAAAGAAATAATTGAGCAACAGCCACCAAAAGAACCACCCTTGTCTCCAGGACCCCAAGAAAAGGAGGTTCAGGTACCTGAATTATCTCAGGTATTGATTGAGGACATAAATGAAATCTTAAAAAACAAATTGAAAGAAGATCATCTAAATCCTCAAGAGGCTGGAAAACCTTCAGCCTATGTAGATACGAGAGTTTTAATTCAAAACTTAATTAAAAAGGTTAGCACATCTCAGTTGGTAAATGAAGAATCTAATACATCCAGTGACTTTAAAATCAGTGACTATCCTGGAGTTTCCCCTATTAATAATGGACCAGAACTAAAAACAGAAGGTAGAGATGATCCTTTCTGTATTGCAAATCTGAAGTCTGAACTTCTCTTTGATATACTAAAGCAAAATCAGTATAGCCAAGAAATTGCAGGAGCTTTTGAATTGATGAAAGAATTAACTCAGATGGAGTATGATTTAGAGAAAAGAGGTATTACATCCAAAGTACTTCCACTGCAACTTGAAAATATTTTCTGCAAACTGCTTGCTGATGAATATTCACAGAAATTAGAAAAGGTTGGAGACTTAAATAAAAAATCATCTACTACTTCTGAGATGGTGGATGAAAAGTCACCAATACTTAGGGATCTTAAAAGCAAAGAAGGAAGCCACTGTTCTCTTAAATTAGAAAATGTAAAAGAAATTGGACTGGAAAACTCTACAGCATGTGCATCAGCATTGCCAAGAAATGAGAAGCTTGAGGAGCGATGCAATGATTCCCCAGACCATTTGGAATATATTTCAGGGCCAAAAGAAATGACTATCGGAGACAACTCAGTGGAACAAGTAAGTTGACCTATACATTTTACATGCAAGTGGCTGCATGAAACATTTGGGAGTAATCCTATACATTTTATTTGCTTTGAAAATCTGCATGAAGGCTATTGAATTAAAATGTCCAAATTTATTTTTAGTTTTCCAATGAGTTAAAGCAGTGTTTACGGCACACTGAAAAAATGCATGAGTATTTGGCTTTGCTTCAAGATATGGAACCTCCTCTATTCAACCAGGAGTCTCTGGATAACAGTCTAGAAGCTTTGAAAAATCAAGTAAAACAGTTAGAGGTAAGAATTGTCTGCTGCCTGTGTATGGGAGGTGGTCGGCCGATGTTAGATTTGGAAAAATAAGCGGAGCTCTTTGTATCTTTTGAGTATTAGTTGTATTTGTGCTTTTCACTGAATGGTAAATAGATCTGGGATCTGTGTCTTTGCAGACATTTGAATTGGGATTGGCTCCAATTGCTATTATTTTAAGAAAAGACTTGAAGTTGGCAGAAGAGTTCCTCAAGTCTCTTCCGAGTGGCTTTCCCAGAGGACATCTTGAAGAATTGAGTGTCAGCCACAGACGTTTGCAGACTGCCTTCTCTTCCCTCACTGATGTGTCTTCAGAAAGGATGAAACAGATTATGCTTGCAATTGACTCCAAAATGGTAAGCTTAAAAATGTTTCACACCAAGTCAAAATTGATTTTTGAAGATCATTTGATTATTTAGTCATAAGATGAAGTATTTTATTTTCAGACTGTTAAACCCTTAAAACAGAATCATTATTTGTAGGAATATGACATTTTGGGGACTGACAGAAATGAACACATAGTTTTATTTTCCAGTCTAAACTAGCAGTTTCCCATGAAGAATTTCTGCATACGCTTAAGTCGTTTTCAGATTGGATATCAGAGAAGAGCAAATCTGTGAAGGATATTGAGATCACGAATGTTGGAGATACTGAAAATGTAAAGAAAAGTTTGGAGTTTCTCAAGGCAAGTATGAAAATAAATATGACAAAGTACATTTAAAAACCTATGTGTTTAATACAAATGTTTAGAAGAAATATGACTTTGCTAAGGCAATAAAAGATTATTTCCTTCCTTTGTCTCTAAGAAATGTTTGTTCATAAAATAATCACCACTTTATGGATGCCATCTTGAGGCTGTACCAACTGCATTATCAAACTCTTACTACCCTTGACATCTTGAGATTTGTATTTATGTTTTCATTAGTCACCTTTAGCATGCTGTTTTTTTCCCCAAAGTTCTTAATTTGAACAGCATGCCTCATGAATGATGGTTAGACTCCTGGCCTAGGGGTCAGAAAACTGAAATTCTGGATAGCCCACTTAATTCATGTTTCAGATTCCTCACAATCCAATGTTTATGCTATCAGAATTACATGATATTATAAATACTAAAGTAATATTTTAATGCCAGTGTTTGTCTTCAGTGTGCTGAGTGTACGCAAGTTGAACTTTTACCTTTCATCAGAGTAATATTTTAATTGGTTATGTGGCAAGCAAAGTTCAGATATCGTTAGAGGGGTTTTTATCTTTTTACGTAATATTAATTGCCAAAGTGTTTAAATAATTTCATCATTATCGTCTATTACTAGATGATAAGTAGATTTTTGACTAAGTGAATAATGAAAAAAAAATCAATAAAGCCTTGAGTCCCTGATGTTAGGGGCATATTTTTAAAATAAATATTATTGTTAAACTTTATCATGGCTTAACTCTCTGTTGGTAACTTGTATTGCTTTGTTCACAGATTGTGTTAAAAGACCTTGGACATACTAAAATGCAGTTGGAGACTACTGCTTTTGATGTGCAGTTCTTCGTTTCCGAATATGCACAAGATCTGTCTCCCAACCAAAGCAGACAACTGCTGAGGCTCTTAAACACAACTCAAAAGTGTTTTCTTGATGTACAGGAATCAGTAACTACCCAGGTGGAACGTTTAGAGACTCAGTTACAGCTAGAACAAGATCTCGATGATCAGAAGGTTTGCCTTTCTTTGTGGAGTTGGAATTCTTGGTTTTTAGTTCTTCATGTAGATATCCAGGGGGTATGGCAAGATAGGAATGATTTTCTGGAAAGACAGTTAGTGAACAGGTATAATGAAGGGACGCTAAAATATAGAACAATGTTGTTTTTCATAATGATGCTATAATTTCATGACTCCCTAAAAGTAGTCTTTTCAGGGGAGAGTCTTGATTTTTTTCTAGAAGTAGGAAATATGGATGCACTCAGAAATTTTAAGAAATATATTGATGAAGATACAACTAAAGACGTTAAGGGTATTTCTTTCCCTCGGGGAGGCAATTTTGCACAGCAGTTCAGATCGTGGGCTCTGGAGCCAATCTGCTGATTTTAGATCCCCGCCGCACCACTCACTAGTTGTGTGACCTCGGGCAAGTCACTTAACCTCATTTTTTTCTCATTTGTAAGATAGGAACAATAGCGCTTACCTGGTAGTGTTGTGAGCATTTGATAAAAGAATGCATGTAGAACATTTAATGCCTTGCCTGGCATGTGTTAAGCTCTTAGTAAACATATCTATGGCTAGAAGATGTATAACCCAGTGTATCCATAATGGGAAAAGGAAAGATGCATATAATTTGTACTGACTTAGTAAATTACATAGTCTCTTAGGAAGATTTAATGAAATGTTGTAAGAGTGCTGCATCTAATGACAATAGTGAGCCAAAGGGTGGGAATGATTAGCTATAGAATTTGACACAGTGATTAAGTGAAAATATGGCATGCAGCTCTCTCTTATTATTTCTTGACACACCCAGGCATTGCCTCTAGCATGATAACCTATATACACATATCAAATATGTTAATAGACAAATCACGACTAACTTCTGTTTTGATATCCTTTTGCAGAATTAATTGTGTGTGTCGCAGGTTTCAAGAGCTTAAGAAGATGGAACGTTTTCTTCCTGTCGGTCAGAAGTTCCATCTCTCACACATACGCATCGCCAGTATTCTGTTGAGCAGTTGCATCCAAACACGATCACTTTCCTTGTATATGAGACATGCTATTACTTTATCTCTCACCTTGCTCTATTTGTACCCCACCGCTATCATGTTTACAGCATACTTGTAAAAGCTTATTTAGAGGAAACTTGCAAAATGTATTCTAATAAGGAGCTGTCATAATAGCAATTTTATCACCACCCATTTAAAGATGCTTTGGTTTTGCTGTACTTTAGATTGTGGCAGAGCATCAGCAGGAGTACAAAGAAAAACTCCAGGGGATATGCGATCTCCTCACCCAAACTGAAAACCGCCTGATTGGCCAACAAGAGTCCTTCGTGATTGGAGATGGCACGGTTGAGTTAAAGAAGTACCAGTCTAAGCAAGAGGTAGAATTTGGTTTTGTATCAGCGGCTTTATGCTGATGTTAGATTTTATTATCATTGCTTGGAAATCAGTTAGGATTCTTGAAAAAATATCAATCATTTTAGCTCTTCAGAGGTTTGGCATACCTAGCTACCCTCAGGCCTGATACTAATAGTCACATTTTCAGTTTCTAGCAGGCCAGGTCATTTTCTTGACTACTTTTTGGTATGATGTTAAGTGGAGCAGGTATAAAGGAGCTATGATAATGGAAGTATTTTGTTTGGTGAATTAAAATTTGGCTCCATTTAAGGCCATCCTACTAACTGGCCAATCAGGGCAAATAACCATAAGTTCGGGTTCTTTCTCTTTCTTAGCTTCTTCTTTTTCCTTCTATTTGTCTCTGCGTTGTGTCCCTATTCATTAAAGGAAAATGAAAAAAATACGACAGAAAAGGATATCTTTATTTTGGTGGCAAGTGAAAGAACATTCTCATTGAAACTAGACTCTACGCATTGTTAGCTTTATAACTTAATCTCTCTGAGCCTCAGTTTTTTCCATTAGTCATGCTTCCATTGCTATATTATAGTAAGAGTTAAGTAAACATTGTATGTTAAGTGATTAACATAGTTCATGTCACGTAGTAATGGCTCAATAAATAGTATCTCTTTCAATTCAGATACTTTTCAGAAAAATTTGAGGAGCCTTAAATTCATGAAGAAAAAGATTATTAATTCTCAAACACAGTAAAATATAACGGTAGAAAACACATAGTAAAGGAGGAAAGGAAGAAGAAAAATTATATGATGAAATCTAGACTGAGGAAAGCTATAACTAGAGTAGAGATCTTAATCTTGAGTTCCTAGCAGCCAGGGCAAAGAAATAAACATTACATAATATAGAGTTCTTATTGTTTAGGACAAAAAGTATCTTAGTTTACTGGGAAAACTTTTTTTAATCCTGAGCAGTAGATATATATTAAGAAATAAATGTTTAGAAACAGAATAAATAAGACTACCATGTAAAAGCTTTTGTAAATGTACTCATATATATTAAATCTAGTGTATACAAATTTGATTAGATTATATTGAATACTTCAGTGTTTTTCATGTTTTAAAAGCCTCATCCATTTTCAACATGAAAATGAAACACAATATGAAAATCTTGTGCCTTTTTTTAATACTTGAGATTTCAAATTATAATAAATATTGTAATTGAAGTATACCAACTCAAATTAACGTATTGAGTATGCTTTTTCAAATGATACATGCTAGACTCTTCTTTTCTGCTCACCCCCTCTTTTAGAATTACAGCTCTAGAAGAAGTAAGTAGGTAATAATTCAATCATATATTTTTTCTTTTTTGTTATAAGGAATTACAGAAAGATATTCAAGGAAGTGCACAGGCATTGGCAGAAATAGTGAAGAACACAGAGAACTTCTTGAAGGAGAATGGGGATAAGCTGTCACAAGACGATAAGGCTTTGATTGAACAGAAACTTAATGAAGCTAAAATAAAGTATGAACAACTTAATGTTAAGGCAGAACAGTCGAAAAAGGAGCTGGATAAAGTTGTGAAGACAGCAATCAAGGAAGAAACAGAAAAGGTCCGTGATCAAATATGTGGTTTACTGTTGCTTTGTTGAAAATGACTAGTATAGTGTCTACTGGGTTAAGGTGTTAGTAAGCAATGATTAGCACTGAGGACTAGAATTCTGGATTTCCAGGTATATAATTGACCAAATACTACAAAAAGTTTGAAGAATTGACTTTACTTTTTCCTTAAAATTATTTAAAGTAGGGTTGTGAGACTTTTTACTGGTGAAATGTGTATGACTCATTATCGATCGTAGTTAGAATTTTGGAATGTATTTTTAACAACAGTGAAGACTTCAAAGTAACTGCCTGTTGCTCTGAAGTTTACTTTCAGTGTGTTCCTTAGTCAGTTTTTAGCATACCAGTATCCCACACTTAATTTAAAATGATCTAAGTATTTACTTTTGTTACATCTTAACCCTAATGACTCTGTATGTGTTTAGAATGTGAACTTTCCTTGTCCAGGTTGCAGCTGAGAAACAGCTGGAAGAGAGCAAAACCAAAATTGAAAACCTTTTGGACTGGTTGTCAAATGTTGACAAAGACTCAGAAAGGGCAGGGACAAAACACAAACAAGTGATTGAACAGAATGGAACCCATTTTCAAGAAGGTGATGGCAAGTCTGTGATTGGAGAAGAGGATGAAGTTAATGGTAACCTGTTGGAAACTGATGTTGATGGGCAAGTTGGAACCACTGGGGAGAACCTGAACCAGCAATACCAGAAGATCAAGGTGTGTTGTTTTAAACATAATGAATATTGTTAAACTCTACTTCCAGATACGTGAAGATAGCATGTGAGTTATATTTTCAAAGTTTAATGACCAGAGAGTAAAACAAAGTCCTGTTATACAGGTGCACCCTTGTGTCAAATAGAAATTATTACTATGAGAGTTTTAAACAAGTCAAAAAACAATAAGAAATAAAGCAAAAGATGTGAACTGGACTTACTAGAAATAAAAATAAGAGTCAATATTTATAGAGCAATTGCATTGGGCTTTGGCCCTCTTTTAAGCCCTCCTCATCTATTAACTCATTTAGTCCTCTCAACTACTCTGTGGTGTAACCTGTTTTCCATTTTACAGATGAGGAAACTGAGACCTATAGAGGTCAATTAACCTGTCCAGGGTTACACATATAGTAAGTGATGGAGATTGGATTTAAAACCAGGTGATGTCTTCAGTTACTCTACCAAGTTCTAATCCATGTTTGTTGACTAATTTGCTATGCAGTCTTGAGCTCACTTAAGTCCTCTCTGAGCTCCATTTATCTGTACAGTGAAGTCTGTTATTGAAAAGAGACATGAAAGCCCTTCAAAAATCCCCTACATTATGGAAATTAAAGGTAACAGTAATGCTACTATAGGAGCAAAGATAACTTTTGAAAAACATTTTTAAAGTGTCACATAATTAATCACTGTATTTCAGAGTTTGACTTTCTGTAGTCACATAACCGAACTTTAGGAACTTTTAAGGTTCTGTTCTGTGAGGTTCTTACATTACAGGTAATATAAATTAAACCAGAAGAAGAGGGGGAGCGTTTAATATGTCACAGTTTCAGGGGGCTGTTTTTGTAATTGTCTCAAAAATGAAACATCTAATGAATTCCTAAAAGAACCTAATCAGTCAGTTACACAGAAGCTAGGAAAGGTTAATAACTTGAACAAAGTAGTGAAAAACACCAATGTGTGAATTTAAATGTAGGGATGCCTGACACAAAAACCCTACAACAAAAAGTGTAGCCACAATGTAACATTTCCCTACTGATCTTTTCACCTCTAAGAATATAGGGATCCGAAAGTACTGTAGAAATTCCTAATCTGATAGAGTGGAGAGATGGCCAGAGGCCCTGAGTCAGGGGTTCTGTTTCTACCTCTCTCTAGTTGTGCCACGTGTCCTGGGCCCAGCCACTTCTCTATCAGTCTCCATTTCCTTGTTTTTAAAAGGAAGGGGATGGATTAGGTAATTTATAAGGTATTCTATCTGTCTGTCCAACCTAATTGAGTGCCTACTATGTGCAAAGACCTACTTGAGGCTAATGCATGAATGTAATTAAAATACCTAAGACAGACTGTGGGAGAAAAGTTATTTATTCAAAAATATTCATCATGTTCCCACAATTTGGCAGGCATTGTTACAGACAATGAGGATATAAATATTAATGAGCTGGCTAATTGGGATCAGACTTCTAAGCAAACAGTTGTCTTACAGCAGTGTTTCTCACCCATTTTCACTTGTAGCATATGTTTGTTCTTACTCAGTTCCTGTGTGCCAGCACTGTTCTAGGTTCTTGGGATACCCTAGTGAGCAGAAAAAGTCCCTGTCCTATTGCTGCTTGTATGTTACGGGGTGAGGATAGTATGGCAGACAGTAAATAACTAAGTTGCATGGTATGTTAGAATGTGGTAGGTGCTATGGGAAAAAAGAAAAGGAGTTGGACAAGGATGGTTGAATGCCTGGTGGTGGAAGGGACAGTGTTAAATCGGATAGTCAGAGTAGGCCACATTGAAAATACGAGATTTATGCAAAGACTTAAAAGAGACGGGGGATTAACCAGGAAGATATTTGAGGGAAGGGCTTTCTGGAGAAAATGTCATAAGGTACCTACAAGCTCGGTGTGTGGGTGGGAATGGCCAATTGACCGGAGTGCGTGGATTGGAATGGAGCAGGTGCAGGTAGTAGAAAGATCTTTGAGGTAACAGGTCAGGCTCCACGTAAGCCGTTGTAAGAAATGTAAAAAAATTGCCCCAGAGGATAATACGTATGACATACTGGGGTGAATGAAAAAAGCTGCTTATGACTAGAGGGAAGGGGACTCCAGCCATTCAAGGCCCACCTGGCTGCCCTGAAGGCTAAGTTGATAATAGCTTGCCTGCTGGGAAACTTTCTTAAGGCCTTCAGAGTGGAGGCTCTGCAGACTCCGTGCTAAGTGTTCTGTGATCTGATCTTATGTACTCCTTATGACAAACCTATGATGTGTAAGGGTTATTGTCTCCATTTTCCATGTGTGGGAAATTGAGGCCCAGTGAAGCTAAGTGGCACCAGTATTCTCTTGTGTTATATCTGTTCTTTTAACCTCCTTTGGTCTCCTCTAAATGTATATTGTTTTTGCTTAAATATTGTTGTCATATTTTTAATAGGTTTAAAACTACATATTCTTTTTTCCTATTTAAATGTCTTTTCAGGTTCACTTACTAACAATATTCTGCTTATTTGCTCAGTAATTAGGTAAAGACATTAGTAAGCCCTTTGGGATGGTTGTGAGGAAGCAGTCTGTAAAATGAAATTGGATTATAGATGTTTGTTTTAGAGTGGGAATAAACATTTGTCACATTTTTTCCAAACATCTCAGTAACAGCACTTGTTATATGTGATTATTTAGTAACTTTCTAGAGAGGGTAGAAATTTCCTTAAAAAATAAGATTAGAGTGCTCAAAATGCTGTTTTTTGCTATTCTGAAATTCACCAATAAAACAGAAATATCATACAGCTTGAAAAGAGTAATGAGAAGCAAATTGTAGCCCTGTGGGTCATTTAAGCCTGTCAGTCCTGAGGTAACGGGGAGCTCCCAACAGCCTCAGTGTAACCCTGTGTCCAGGCATGGACTAGTAACATGAAATTTGCCTCCAAAAATGGAGGGTACTGAGAGACCAAAGAAAGAGGCAGGCAACTCCAGTTTCGGGGCGAAGGAGTTTTATTAGGGAGCCTTACATATGAGGAGGTCCTGGGCGGCAGCAGGACCAAAGCATATCTCCGCACCCGGCAGTGGCAAGGCAGAGGTCTTATAGTGGTGGTGGTGGACAATAATGGCTCCATGCCAAGGGCTTACATAAGAATGCAAACTTTAGTGAACCTAGTGGACTGCATGGGGGCGCCCATGTTCGGTCTCACAAAGTCTGTTTCCCCTTCAGTCTCCGCCTTGAGGCCAGCTCTTATACTCTGGCACATTCCCGCTCTGGTGCTGTATGTAGTACAAGAGACCCTGTTCCCTCCCCACTGGGAACAGATATAGAAGCCATGTTGGCCAGGTGCCATGTGGTGCCCGCACATGTGCAGGAAGAGACAGAGAAATTTACCATGTGCCCAGAATAGGAGGAAGGCTTATCCGAAAAGGATAAGGAACCAGGAGAGAGAAGGCAACCCAATTCCCAGCCTCCTTATCAGAGAATGTTCTGGGCCCAAGGCCTTTACTTAGTCAGCCTGGATGGGAGGCATAGAGGCAGTCCATTCCCCCAACACTCTGTCACTGCTTTAAAGTTATGGTCACTTTGTTGCCACACAGGCTCAACATGAGAAGATCATCTCTCAGCACCAAGCAGTCATCATAGCCACTCAGTCTGCACAAGCCTTGCTTGAGAAACAGGGTCACTATCTCTCTCCGGAGGAAAAAGAGAAACTACAAAAGAATATGAAGGAACTGAAAGTGCATTATGAAACCGTACTGGCTGAGTCAGAGAAGAAAATGAAGCTAACACACTCTCTGCAGGAAGAATTAGAAAAGTTTGATGCAGATTATAGTGAGTTTGAACACTGGCTGCAGCAGTCAGAACAAGAACTTGAAAACCTGGAGGCAGGGGCAGATGACTTTAGCAGCTTAATGACGAAATTGAAGAGGCAGAAGAGTTTCTCAGAAGACGTTATTTCTCACAAAGGTGACTTGAGGTACATCACCATTTCTGGAAACAGAGTATTAGAAGCTGCCAAATCTTGCAGCAAGAGAGATGGCAGCAAGGTTGACAAGGATAATATTGATACTTCTGCAACCCACAAAGAGGTACAGAGCAAACTGGATCATGCTACCGATCGGTTCAGATCGCTGTACTCCAAGGTAATTTTATATTTATTTTTAAAGGGGAAGATCAATCTGTGAAGCAAGAAACCTAAAAACTGAAGCAGGAAAAGAAAAGGTAGTTTCAGCGTACATCCATTAGTCTTATTTGTCTGCTTTACTTCTGAAAAATGTGTTTAAAATTTAGGAACATAAAGTTATTTATTCAGTTAGTTTTACTAGGATAATTCCCAGTTAGCTTTAGCTCTAAAACTCTCTAATAACAGACAGTGTCCAATTTGACCACTAGATGGCGTTTATGTATTAACCCTGAGCAAAGTGGTTGGCTAATTTGCAGCATCTTAAGCTTGGGAACTTGACATTTCATCTCAGATAATTCTCTTCACAAATGCTGCAAATGTTTGTTTTGCAGATACATTTCATCAGTGTATTACTTTAATACTTAACAGCAGACTGTTTCAGCCTCTCTTACTCCTGTGGACAACGAGTAAAGAGTTTTGTTTATTTTAAAAACAACAAAAAATCTTAAACAATTTCCGGTTGGTGATAATCCAGTAAAATCTGTGAAAGCCAGAACTCGATGAGACTGCCTTGTTTTTCTCAGTCTTGCAAGTTTTCCGCCTTAGACAGGGTGCAGTTTTACCACTTTTCTATCGCTCGTTTTAGTGGAAAATATTTGCGTTTTCCTTCTCTGACAGGTTTCCACCTTATACAGGTTCTGGCTTTCGCAGGTTTTACTGTATAAGTTGAACAAGAACAGACTTACCAAGTTGTTTAAGAGATTTGAAGAGCCTTCTGGGCTCTTGGCCTTTGCTTCATTCTAATCTAGGCTTATTTGCCCTTCTGTGTTAACCCCATAAAACATACAAAAAGAAGACTAAAACAAACCTCTTGCTATTGACTTATAGCAACCCTATACAGGACAGAGTAGAACTGCCCTTTAAGGTTTCCAAGCCTGTAAATCTTTACAAAAGCAGATTACCACATCTTTTTTCCACAGAGCAGCTGGTGGTTTCAAACTGCCAACCTTTCTGTTAGCAGCTGGGTGCTTAACCACTGTGCCACCAAGGCTCACCTATGAAACATACAGACGTGACTTATCAAGGACCTTGAAAACTGTCACGTTAAATACATATCAATACACAAGGATGTATAAAACCCAGTGAGAAAGTGCCCTGGTAGATGTGACTCCTCTGGTGATTGATTTCTTAGTCTGTCATTCTGAGTTAAGATTCAGTCATTGTAAATGTGTTTTTGGATTTGTATAAATCTAGAGCTATCATTTTTATGCATACTTTTTGCTTTCTTAGAGGATGAGTCTTCACATAAAGAAGAAAATCTTATTCCTACAGAGTTTTCACTGACTTTGGTTGAAGTCTGGTCTTTTCCAGGTTATATAACTATAGGTCCTAAGGTTATTTTGCAGATATAAAAATAGTGAGTTGTAATCACACCGCTTTCTCTTTTGATTATTTAGTGCAACATCCTGGGGAATAATCTTAAAGACCTGGTGGATAAATATCAACACTATGAAGATGCTTCTTGTGGACTTCTTTCTGGGCTCCAGGCCTGTGAGGCCACAGCCAGCAAACACTTATCTGAACCCATTGCTGTGGACCCCAAAAATCTGCAAAGGCAATTAGAAGAGACAAAGGTGAGTAAGTGAGAGAGAGATAGGGAGAGAGAGAGATTTACATCCTTCAATAGTCTTATCGAAAGGCTTCTACTTTTCCACTGCTCTTTTGATAGTTCCAACTAGGGTAAGGGGCAAATGGGGAAGTATATTTCACTCTAGGGCGAGTTATGACTCTATTTCTCCCTAGTCCATTCATTTCTCTTTCTAATGAGATAGTTTTACCCACAGTTATTTAATTGGTTTTACCTTGCTGTTATGGCTCCTTGCCTACACCCTTTCACCCCTAAACAAAATCCAGTATGGTGGTCTAGTTCCCATTCTGGAGAAGGATTTGGTAATTAGAATAGAATAGTACTCCTAAAAACATACTTATTCATCAAAGCAGTGGAGAGTTTCATAATTTAGTGTTAAAGGAAAATTGTCGAAAGTTGAGCTTCCCATGTGGGGTGGGGAGGGGTAATCAAATTTGTGAAGCATTCATTTTTCTCTATCAACCTTCATGTGGGCCTTTCCTATCCCCCTTCTCTGCTCTGTGTATTCCCTTCAACGCTTAATACCATATAACATGATGCTTACTGATCTTGTTCATTGCCTTTATCCTCCACTGGAATTAAGCTCCATGAGGGCAGTTATTTTTCTCTTTTGCTCACTGCAGTATCCCCAGCTTCTAGAAGAGTACCTTGTCGAAAATAGATACTCAATAAATATTTTTTAAGGATGGACAGGTAGAAAGAAAGAAGAGATATCACTGCCACATTTGGGGATTCTGAGGATGCAGACATTAGGTATTACCAAGCACTGTTCTCAAAAAGTTTACCTACTGTTTCAGAAATACAGGCTTGATGTGGGAATTGCATAACTGTGGTGGTCTCAGCCTTACTCATGATGGCAGAGAGAGTCTCTATGCTATTTTCTCAAATTTAAAGCATATTTAAAAATTCTAATGTAAGGGAAGATACTTTTTGAAACATTTTATTCTTATTCAATATGACCAATAATTTTTTAGTTTGGAAGTTTCATTTCATAACTCTATTTTTGTTAGCAGGTGGGTAACAGTAGCTGATTGCTGCCATAGCTAGAAAGTAAACACAGTCTTGCCAGTTAAACAGCTGCCTTGCAGAATTTAGTTGCATCTGTTACAGAATCATAAATCATTTTTATGCTATTAACAAGGAAACTCCATCTATATATTGTCCCAGAGTCCCGGGTAGTACAAATGGTTAACGCACTTGGCTGCCAACCAAAAGGTTGGAGATTCGAATCCACCCAGAGGCACGTTGGGAGAAATGCCTGGCGATCTACTTCCAAAAAAATCAGCTGTTAAAAACCCTGTGGAGCATAGTTCTGCTCTAACACACATGGGATCGCCATGAGTCAGCTTTGACTCAGCAGTAACTGGAAGAAGAAAAAAAAAATGTGTCTGGTCCAGGCAAGGAGGCCAAGGTCATAATCCTGCAGTATTCCCTGCCACAGATACTTTTTTTATGTTTTAATTTCACTGAAATTATTCAAAACAGTATGAGAAAAACATTTGAGTGCTTTAATTTGCAATTTTGTTCCAAAGAAGTACTATAAACCACTACCATGGTGGTACAGTGGTTAAGCGTTCAGCTGCTAACCAAAAGGTTGGCAGTTCGAATCCACCATCCGCTCCTTGGAAACCCTATGGGGCAGTTCTCCTCTGTCCTGTAGGGCCACTATGAGTCAGAATCGACTCGATGGCAATGGGTTTTATGTGCTAGGCAGGTAAATTCAGTAATATTCACAGGGCATTTATGGGAATTCCTGGGGAAGCATTTAACTCAACAGGGGTGAAAAGACAGTTAGGGAAGGCTTCCAAGCGGAATATTAAAGGGCAAATCAGAGCCAGGGTCAGGATGGGGGTATGTGGAGTAAAGTCGTATGAGAATGTTGGTATGTAGAGGTGGGTTAAGGCATTGGGTCTAGGATGAGCAAAGTCAGTGGCTTGAGAAATAACTGTTGTTGGGTATCTGAACGATGAAGTGGAGAAACTTTCATAGCATGCTCAAGTCTTAACCTTTAATTTGAAGGCAATAGGAAGCTACTGAAAGATTTTAAAAGGGTGTGTGTTTCAGATAGAACACATTGGGGGCTATATCAGGGAAGAGGCTGGAGGCAGAGAAGACAGTTACGAGTCTTTTTCAATAATCGTAGTGAGATATTATCCTGCAATAATTCATTAATACAGAGCAGAGGTCTGGTTAAAGGAATATTTAGCTGAGAAATCAGGGCTTGCTGTTTGATCTGTGTGTGTGACGGAGGGCCGAGAGAGAGAGAATGGAGCCTAGGTGGAGCTTCAGGTTTACAACTTTCTTAATAAGCTTGCAACCTCAGGAGGGAGTACAGGTGTAGGGAGTGAGGTGATGAGTTTAAATTTCAGCTCATTGAATTTGCTATGACCGTGGTGGTGCAGTGGTTAAGAGCTTGGCTGCTAGCCAAAAGGTCAGCATTTCGAATCCACTAGCCATTCCTTGGAAACCCTGTGGGGCAGTTCTACTCTGTCCTATTGGGTCGCTATGAGTCGGAATCGACTCGATGGCAGTGAGTTTGGTTTTTGTTTTATGTACCACCCAGATGGAAACGTTCAAGAGGCAGTTGGAAACCTGGGCCTACGGCCAAGGATGAGTTCATCTACAGTTGGACATACGGGAATTTGAATTTGAAATCCAAATGTGCATCTAGAAGAGAAGCTCAAGTACCTCAGGTGAAATCAAAGCCAAGCTTAGGGCCTGCATCATCAGCCTGTTGATTTGGGTAGAGATCTGTCAGAGGGGTTAGGAACACAGGGCCAGACTTCTGGAAGACTTAGGTATGGTTTCTTCCTCTACCTCCTTTCTCCTCTGTCTTGCTGCTCTCCTGTATCTGTTCACTGGAAGCTCTGCAGGGACCTCTATTCAGCAAATTCAGGGACCAATTTGTGCTTTTTATCTGATGCAACTGATACTGTTAACCTTTTCCACTTTCTTTCTTCCTTTAAGCTTGAGTGAGAGAATTACTCTGGTCTCTTTTCCACCTCCCTGATCACATTCATTCTCTTTTTCCTCTCCCTGTCATCTAGATACAAGTATTCTCAATGATCGTTTATGGTCCCTTCTCAGGTGTTTCTGTGCTTTTGATTTTAGCGATCTCATCATGTATCTTGACATCCAACTCTTTATATTTAGTTCCAACTTGTGAGACATGTAGAACTTCCCCCATTTCCAGCTTTGTTGTTTCTCTCTATAGGAAAGTCCTAAAAGCACTTTGACATCATAAATTCCTTGTACTCCTAAATTTGCCCCACTTTTGTTTATGAATTCTGTTAATTACCTAGGCTCGAACATTTTAGAGACTTCTCTCGTCTCATGTCCTTTCTTCCTGCTCCCTTGAGTAGCACTGTTTAGCAGAACATTATATGATAATGAAAATGTTGCATAATCTGCCTGTCCAATATAGTAGCCACTAAACCAAATGTGGCTATTTAGAACTTGAGATATGGCTACTGCAACTGAGGAATTTAATGTTTAATTTTAAATCTGTTTAAGTTTAAAAAGCCACATATGGCTAGTGGCTACTGTATTGGGCAGCACAACTTAGGTAATCAGATACCAAGCCTAGGGAATCTCCTTAAATGTTCTCTCATATATAAACTACTGTACTTCCCCAGCCAGACAGGCCTTCGCTACTTTGTTACTGTTGAAATTGCCCCCCTAACTGGCATCACTGCTTCATTTCTTCCCCATTTAATTCATCCCACACAGTATTACAAATTTAGCCTTCATGTAGGACAGCTCATCCCCTTACTCAAAAGCTTTGAATAGCGCCCCATTGCTACAGGATAAAATGTAAACTCCTTAGCCTGACATTCTAACATTTGGCTCTCATCTACCTTTCCGGCCTTATTTCTATTTATTCACCCATACGTATCCTCCAGCTGGATGAGATTGTCCCCTTTCTTCTGTGACTTTTCTGCCCTATCCTTTGTTCCTTCCATTTTTTCTGCAGGGCATGTCTCCCTCTCCATTTCTCCATACCCAAATTCACACTGCCTTCAGGACTCACTTCAAAGCCACCGCCACTGAGGTGGCCCTCATTTCTCTCCCCAGTTATTCCACTTCTCAGCTTCCAGTAGCACTGTTTCTTCCTCATCTTTGGTGCTTATCACTCTCTGTCTTAGACTAAGATCCCTGTGGGTAAGCTTCGTGTCTGCCCTATTTTTGTGTTTTCACAAAATGTAGCAAGGTATTTTGAGTTTGTAAGATGGTCAGTAACTTTTGTTGAATGAATGGAAATAAATATGACTCAGTATATATCAGGGTCTAATGAAAAGGAAGTCCTTAATTATCTCCTTACCTGGAGTCAGAATTGTTCCCAAGGACCTTTTGCTTCTTGTTACTGTTTATTTTGTTTGTTTATTTGCTTTTTGTTGTTGTTTGGTGGTAGTGATGGTGATATTGTACAAAGCCTAGAAGTGGGTGTTAAGGGGGAAACTCATGCTAAGGTGAGAGGGTTGCAGGATCAGGGAATCAGGCAAATTATTATGAACATTTGCTTGAGGGTTTATTTCAAGCCTGAATTTGTATTATCTTGACGGGCTGATGCCTTTGTTAACAACATTTTTAATAGCTGTCCTTATTCCAGGAAGTCTAGAGTAAGTTTATAATGATGGAAAGTTTACTCTGTCCAATTTAATTTTATCTTATTGTAAGTCATATTTTTCCATATGGAAATCTATCATTTAGTTCTATGAGTATAATTGAAAAGCATTTAATCCTACAGGCCCTGCAAGGACAGATATCAAGTCAGCAGGTTGCTGTCGAGAAACTGAAAAAAACTGCTGAAGTGCTTTTAGATGCCAGGGGATCTTTATTGCCAGCCAAAAATGATATTCAGAAAACACTGGGTAAGATACTCCTTTTCTTGTTTGCTGTCTCACAGATGAATTCTAAATGAAGGTATGCTAATAGATGTGGAGATAATGTCCACTAGTGTATATTATTATTTTTCTTTCCCTGTGAAATGATGATTCTCAATCTGGGAAAAGGCATGCCTTCTTTGGTAGGTATAGTAGAATCTTAGGGGTGGGAACTGTGTAGTTTGAAAAGATACTCACGTTTTAATTTTATGTTCAGGAAATGTAACAAAAACTCCATATCTGTGTACCATAGAAAGTAGAACTTTACAGAATTCTCTTGATTTATGGAAGAGGTTGAGAGACCCTCCTTTAAGACAGCATCCCTACTTCTCCATTCTCTAGAAGCAGTCTTTGAGTGGCTTCATAGGGTTCCAATTACTCTAGTTCTTCAGTTGTATACTAGAAACTCGTATACACTTATAATGGTAGTTTTGTGTCCTCTTGCATGAAAGTTTGATGCATTTCTTGAGAGAAGAGCTATTGTATATTATTCCTTGTATCTACCCACAGTATTCAGTTTATACTGGATGCACAGTAGATTATCAATTGATGTTATTTACTGTCTTATTTTTTGCTTTGACTTTATTACTTTTCATAATATTTAATGTGTGGCTTGTGGTTATTATATATTTCTATGCATGAAATAAAAACCTCCATAGAAGATGATTAGACATATGTTTTGCCCCAAACAGAGCATGAATTAAACTCTGAGTAGCAATTTTAGATGAAGGGAAGGATGAAACTTGCTTTTCTAAAACCACTATGTAGAGGAAAACCCTTTGTTATTCTTACAGAATTCAAACTTTTTAAATCATGCAACCCTAGCAGTAAATAATATTTTAGCATGCATCCCCATGTAAGCACGTGTATTTATATTTACATGTATTACTACATTATCATATTATATATAATTGTAAAACACAAACGTAAAAATTGTTAAAGTATATGATAAAAATACAAATGGAAGTTCTAACATTTTGTTCCCATAACCCAGTGAACCCTCTGTACATCCTACCTTGAAGACCATTGCTTTAAAGTTTTGGGCGTAAGAATCTAGGGGAGAAAGAAAGACTACCTTTTATGTATTTCTGTTGTTTGACAAGACAATTTGACGTTTTTCCCATTGCTATCATTTTTATTTGCATAAAATTCATATATCACATTATTTTAAGACTTTAAAAGCTATCTGCCATAATTTTCTAGGAATATGTAAAAATATATTTAAGGTATAGAGGAAATTAGCTCTCTACGATCTGTTTGACTTCTGAGAAAACATCAACCACTTAAAAAATTATTACAGTGGGTTTTGTCTTAGTACCTTTTTCTTAAAATAGTTTTTAAATTACTAAAATCAAGAATGTACTTCATTGACAACATTTTATCACTAAGAAGTACAGAAATGAACAGTAACATTCAAAATATGTGAATTAATTGAAATACAGCTGACCTTGTTGGGAAATCACTCACCATAGCTAAACAGATTGCTGAAGTTACTTACCCTGCTGATACACAGAGTTGCCCGATTGAGAAGCAGCTCACCTGCCAATCAGAGTATCTGCAATGCAGAGTATCTGCTGTGACTTTCAAATTAGAGCTCACATTTGAACTGGCTGCTTGTTTCCTTTGTTTATGGCATCTTAACTCATAAAAAGCCATTGCCGTCAAGTTGATTCCAACTCATAATGACCCTATAGGACAGAGTAGAACTGCCCCATAGGGTTTCCAAGGAGCAGCTGGTGGATTCCAACTGCTGACCTTTTGGTTAGCAGCCGTAGCTCATAACCACTACGCCACCAGGGTTTCCTATGGCATCTTGGTGCATGTTAAATCCTGCCCCTCTCCCCTGTCAGCATTCTCGTGGTCCTCATTGTATCTTAGTGGCAGGAGCACAATTGTCTCTTTAGATCCTTTAAACTTACTCTCTCAATTCAGGGTACATTTGTCAGTTTTCTCATGATGTCATATTAGAACAATCAAAGAGAAATACTGTCTTATTTGTATGAATTATGTTCCGTGAGTCAAGCATAAGCATGTAAGATATTTCTTTATAATTTATAGAGATGTTTCAGATCAAAACTTTATTCTACTGGGCATTTTACAATGTAGTCAACTAAAGCATTCAGAAATAATTAAAATACTTTTGAAATTCTTGGATAGTGATAAATTAAATTCATAATTAAAAACAGATTGTTTTCCACACAGAGAGATGATGAATACATTAAAAAAGACCATTGTTCTTTGAACTTGACATTAGCCTGAAATAGAGAATGTAAGAATGTTAAAATGTAGAGCTTTACATCCAAGTGAAAACTAGGCCAGAAAGGTTTTTCTTTCTTTCTTTGTTGTTTTTATCATCTTAAATCTTTAAAAAAAAAAAGCAAACTGTATCTCATGTGAGATGGGTCAACCTGTTAACCTTTTTTATTTTTCTTTTTTTATCTGCTATTAAGCTTTTCAAATAAATTCTTTTTTTGTATATTTTAGAAACATAATCTGAACCTTCTCTGTTTTAAGTGGATTTTCACTGTCAGTCTTCTAAATACATTTGCATCTGCTCGTTTCTGTGCCTAGTGAAAGATGACAAAAGCTTAGCTTATAGATGTGTGTGTGTGTTTGTGTGTATGTGTGTGTATGTTCGTGTGAGTAAGAGAATTTTTGTATGTAAAGGCTAATTCTTGATAAAATCTTTATAAATGTGTATTGTTTCTTGAGAATAGCTGTTTTACTGTGATCTTTTTTTCATACAGTTATCCGTAAGTGTGGCTAATTTGAAATGACAGATTGAGAACAAATTTTTATTCCAAAGATTTCCTCCTGTGTTCATGCATCCAAAAACCTCTTTTCAAATACAGATACACATATTAACTACTATGAAAAGATTTCAGTTTATTTCCTACTGGAATCTTTTCCTTAATGGTTTTAGGTGGTGCTCTGATTTGCACTATGAGACTTATTTAAAATTTATTTTCTTTTTCCAGCTTTGGTGTGGAAATTTGGGATTCAGTTTAGCATATTTTTGAAAATGATAGGGCAAAAACAACTTTATGGTTAACATTTCCTGGTCTGTTTGGACTAGATGACATTGTTGGGAGATATGATGACCTGTCCAAGTCTATTAATGAGCGAAATGAAAAACTCCAGATAACACTGACCCGTTCACTGAGTGTGCAGGATGGCTTGGATGAAATGCTGAACTGGATGGGAAGTGTGGAAAGTTCTCTGAAAGATCAAGGTCAAGTGCCCTTAAACTCTGCTGCTCTTCAGGATATCATCAGTAAAAATATTGTAAGTGACATTTTAAAAAGAAATCCTACTGATAGATGAAAGAAACAGTTAAATAAGTTCCAGGAATGGATAGATTTAAGATAAATTTAAAGATGTAGAAAAAGTGGTGTTTCCTGAATATACCAGTGTGGAAAGTGGTGCTTGCAAAAACACAAATGTGCAAAACGATTTTTCTATCAAGTATAGAAGGAGCTTTGTATACTTTCTCATGAATATTATCATTTGTTGGAGAGGGCCTATACATACATTGTGTTCTATCTTGTTTATGGTTGCTTCAGCCAGCTGCACATGAGGTTAATCAGATCAATCTTGTTGTTGTCTCGCCTTTTAAAAATTAGGACCATGGATAATCCATAGGCTCCAGTAGATCCCAGAGCTTGCTGAGTAGCAGCAGCCTCCTGCCTCTTTCAAGCAACTAGCCAGCTGTTCTCCACTTTCCCTTGAAGAGATTTGGGATGGGATTCCTCATGGGACAGATCAAACTTGTCTTTCAGTCCCAACTGTTAACTTCCCTTAGTCACAGGTTGTTCAAGTTTATGTTGTTACGAATAGTAACTTCAAAAAAAAATCTGTGATATTATTTGTAAACATCATTATAAAAACACATGTAACATTTGATTCATTTCAGATGTTGGAACAGGATATTTCAGGTCGCCAGAGCAGTATAAATGCTATGAATGAAAAAGTGAAGAAATTTATGGAAACGACAGACCCTTCCACTGCATCCTCACTGCAAGCCAGAATGAAGGACTTGACTGTTCGGTTTTCAGAAGCAAGTCATACACACAAAGAAAAACTTGCCAAAATGGAGGAACTAAAAACCAAAGTAGAACTGTTTGAGAACCTCTCAGAAAAGCTCCAAACATTTTTAGAAACAAAATCTCAGGCTCTTACTGAGGCAGATGTTCCAGGAAAAGATGTCACTGAATTGTCTCAGTATATGCAGGTGTGTCTTCCTCAATACACACGAGGCTGATCAAGTACATTAATAGTTAATTAAGCTCATGCATTTTTCAGCAGAATTATACTTGACTATTATAATTTTAACTGCTTGTGAATTAGTAAAGATCTATGCTTGCTTCTTTTAAAAATCTTAAACCTTATCTCCTCCTTGAAGCCTTTGCGCATGGATTAGAAATGAACACCATTTACCCAACAAACCAGCTGCTCTTGAGTTGATTCTGACTCATGGCGACCTCATGTGTGTCAGAGTCGGACTGTGCTCCATAGGGTTTTCAATGGCTGATTTTTTCTTTTAGTGTGCCTCTGGGTGGACTTGAACTTCCAACCTTTAGGTTAGCAGCTGAGTGCCTTAACCATTTGTTGCACCCAAAGACTTCTATTTATCACACATACAGTTTTTGGATATCATGGTACTGGTAGTATAAGTATCATCTTACATGCCAGAACCCACAAATAGGCAAGATATAAAGTATGCATTTTTAAATTAAATAGTGTGTACTGTGTTCTGTCTCAGATTGCCTACTAGCTGCATGTTTATTTATAGCATACTGATCATAGATAACATTATTCTTCTCTGAAAATCTGAATAGAGCCATTATGGTCTGATACATACTTCTGAATGAAATTTCATTTGAAGGTCTAGCAACATCTGTATTGACTAAATATCTAAATACTTTGTAGGAATCAACTTCTGAAGTCTTAGAACACAAGAAAGATCTTGAAGTTTTGCAGAGTCTGCTGAAAGAGATATCCAGTCATGGCTTACCAGGGGATAAAGCTCTGGTTTTCGAAAAAACAAATAATTTGTCAAAGAAGTTCAAGGAAATGGAGGATACCATCAAAGAAAAGTAAGCATCACTTTAAAAAATTAGATGTTATTCTACTTGATACTAATTAGATTGAATTACTTTTATTTACTTATGTAAGTAGATGAAGCAATTTTGAAAACTTGAGAATAAGCATAGGGCTAATTTTTAATGCTACTTATATTTTGGTAATTTTTTTTCATATTAAAATTAAGTGCATTATTTGCTAAAATATTTAGTAGGAAATTCAATACTTCTTACATAAAAGTGGAAAGCATTATATAAGAAAAATGGTAGTGGTAGTGTATTACTGAAAGTGATCTGAACTTAACTGTAGTCTCTGAAGTCTTTGGCTAATAGCACGGAGAAATAACCTTGAAAGACAGTTTGTGGTTCATTGCTTTCTGGGCTTAATTCAGAAGCTATGTGCAATTTCAATATAGTTCTTCATGGTCTCTTTTGTATAATAGTTTGCTTTTTAACGAGTTGTAGATAAGAAACAATTCCATGAAAAAACAAGATAAGATATGAGAGAATGAGCCTAAGCTGAACTAAAAAGCTGTACAAGGAAAAACCTTGTAACTGAACTTTTGTGTATCTGATCTCATGCTGGTTTCAAGTATACATCTGGTTTTGCTAAAGTTTATAAGAGCTCAAAAAGATAGAAAATAGTTATTTCTCATTTAGCTATCCCTTATTTTTTGATAATTCTCTACTTAAAACTTTTGAGTATTGTCTGTATTACTCAAAGAGCTATATTTCCCACCCTGTCACATAATATTCAGTTCACATTGCACAGAAGAAAGGTCCTTGGTTTTCTTAGGTAATCTATTTCTTCTTTCAAATGGGTCCAGTTTAAAAGCCTTGTGGTCATCAGTAATTAGTCCAGCTGCATCAGGTTCTTACATACGAGTATTCTACACACTCACACATGTGCACACATCATCCATGTGCCAAATGTAACTGTCACCACAATTGTTCATGTGCTGGATATGTGTGCCCTTCCATGGTGCTGAACACACAGAGAGCTATAGAAGTTCACCGTGGAGTGTCCTGAGGATCTATGGGAGAGGCACCAATTACAGCTCTTCAGTCACAAGGTCACACCTCAGTTTTGCAGACTTAATCTGTGTTCCCTAAAACACCCAGTTTATTCATTTAACATGACTGTCTTCCAGCGTACAAACCACTAGGTGGCATAGTGTTTCCCTCATCAGTGAGTTATATGTTTTCCTCTGGTTCTGCGCCTGCTGGCATTAAGAATCATATAAAGTGGACAGATCAGAGCTCGTTGAATCTAAATAATGTTAAAACTGTTTATGTAGTGTTAGAGTTTATGTAGCATTATGGAGTGCCATTCCATGTGGGTTACAGATTTCTTAACTGCTCATCTATTTATTGACGGCCCTTGACTGAGGAATAGACAAATGGTTATTTAGCTTGATTTCACTTGCCAACTATGAAACCTTTCCTCCTGTGTGCACGGGGTAAGGTGTGGGTGTGGAGATTGTTTTTCTTAATATTAAGCCTGATTTAGGAATACTAATTTATTTATTAGTAATTAGACCTTTGGAGCCTCTCCTTTCTTTAGCTTAAATTTTTGTACGCTTTTTGTTATCTAGAAAAGAAGCTGTGTCTTCTTGTCAAGAACAGATGGAATCTTTCCAAGTCCTTGTCAGATCATTAAAGTCATGGATAAAAGAAACAACAGAAGAAGTTCCCATTCTGCAGCCTTCTTTTGGTACAGAAGATTTAAGAAAATCTTTGGAAGAAACTAAGGTGAATCGTTGTATATAATACTAACTTCTCATTTACCTGTATCAGTAATGAGAAGTTAAAGACTAATGTTTGATTTTTTTTAACCACCTCATGTACGTACTGTATATTTTGGTGATATTTGGAAATCATGACACGGGGTTAACTGATCCTTTTGAGAAAGAACACAAACTTTCAGTTAATTCATGCTTTTTTTTTTTTTTAAAAATGATAATGATAATAAATAAAATTTTTAAATTTTTTAATGAGTTGCTGACTTTTCCAGTATCGGAGTTTCCTTCCCCACTATATCTCTACATAGTTCCAGTTATTTTTTATGCCACTTTTTCATGATGTTAAGATCCTCCTCGTTTCAGTATCTTACACTAACTTAGAGATATCACTAAACTCAGTACGTAACAATGAAAATTGAGTCTCCAGCATAAATATTGCATATGTCTTTTGTCGTTAGACTCAAGTCATAAAACTTTTGGCCAGTTAAAGCAGTTTATTTTTTACTCCAAATTTATAGAGGTGTGTGTGTTGTTTTTTTTTTTTTTTTTTTTGAAAATTCGATGACTAAAGCTCACTGTTAAATGGAATTCTGAATTCCCGTTTTTTTTTTTTTATCGTCTCTAGTACATTATCTCTGGTAGTTTGGCTGCTACCCAGTACAGTTTTCCAGACTTACAGTTGACAGTTACTTTGGAACCCATGGCAGCTAGGAATAGCCTGACTCCCACTGTGCTTAGGAGCAGAATGCAGGATGGGCCAAGCCCCACTTGTCACTGCTAACAGTGTTAACAGTCACCCAGGCTGTTGGAGCAAATAGGGATGGTGCCTTTTTTTCCCATCCACTCCCCCACGAATCAGGGCCCATAAACATCGTTGCTGTAATATATGTTCAAGAAATTGAATTATAATGTGCAACTTTGAAAATATTACAAAGACTAAAAAATAATGTATTTTTATATCTCAAGAAATTACAAGAAAAGTGGAATTTAAAAACACCAGAGATTCAGAAAGTAAGCAACAGTGGGATCTCACTATGTAACCTAATAAGTGCTGTGACTACTCCAGCGAAAGCAATAGCAGCAGTTAAATCAGGTACGTGCTTGCCCTTCATGGCGAAAACCAGGAACGGGTCCACCTGTGCTATGTTAGGAGGCCTGGTGGTGCAGTGGGTAAGAGCTCAGGCTGCTAACCAAAAGGTTGGCAGTTTGAATCCACCAGCTGCTCCTTGAAATCCTACGGGGCAGTTCTACTCTGTCCTCTAAGGTCGCTATGAGTCGGAATCGACTCGATGGCAATGAGTTTGGTTTGTTGTTTTTTTTTTTGGTATGTTATGTTTATTTGTGTATGTTATTTTTTAAATTAACGCATAAAATAACCTCAGAAACACAAAGTGAATGCAGTAAGAAAGATGGCACCTATAAACAGACTAAAGCTGCCATGGAAAAGTATCTATACTAATGACATTTCAGATACTTTTTAGGTTTAATTTAATTGAAGACTATGTTTAAAATGTAGCCAAATTAATATGTAAGGAATAAAGAGCATTATTTTGGAGACGGGGTGGGTCAGATTCCAATTTATTTGTTTTTTACCTTACTTAAATGGAGCTGTTGAAATTCTGTTTGAAATCTTTCTGTTCACATTATAATATTTGATGAAGAAATTAATCTGGAAAAAGAGAAATGAGGGAAAGAAACAGGCTCTTTCTGTAGAATGGACCTCTCATTTTATTACAGTCTATTTATTCTGTCCAGTATTCCCAAAGAAAACAGTTATTTAGTGTGTTAGCCAGCATATCTAAATCATAATCTGAATCACGGTAGAACCTCTCTTCTCAACAACAAGAGAGTCATGAATATACATTGATACTAAAGTTAATTTAAATATTGTGGTTGTAGTTTTAAGTTTAAAATGTATTTATATTGTAATAAATATCAGGTTTTTGTTTTTAAAGATTCAGGAATAAACAGAAGGTGGATCTCATATTGTTATTTTGAGAGTTTCTGAGTATCCTCTGTGGTTTATCTGGTCTTCCCAGCCCCCCAGCTGTCCCTATTGTGATACTGATGTTCCAGCTGGTCCTCTCTCAACCAACCATTTATTCCCCTCTGTTAATCCCATTTCAGGGAATACTCACATTATATGTGGTGTTGTGATCTCTCCTAATCAGATTTTCTGAAATAGGTTTTTCTTAAGACAAAGAATTTTATTGCATGTTATTTATTTTAGTTTTTTTATGTCCACTTTTTATTTGCAAATAAATAAAAAGTCATTTTCTTTTTGTACTCTTGGTAACTACCAATCATGGTAGGAATTAATCTTTAGTATCTATAGGATATTTTCACTTACATCTGAAATGTCATTGTGTGTGATTTTTTAAAAAGAGGCAAAACCTAGAATAAAATTCTGATCTTTAAATGTTTTTATTTGTTTGGATTTTTTTGTGTGTGTGTGGTTGATTTTGGGAAATGCCTTTGTGTTTGGAATAGATAGCCAATGAATGCTAGCATGAGAAAGGCTAACTGATTTTTTAATATTCTGATTATGAAAAAGGTGCTAATGCTAGATGTGTACTTAATAAAAGAGAAATACTAGTTACTACTCACTGAGTAGTTGCTATTTCTAGGTAATGGATTAACTGCCTTTCATTCCCACATTGGGTAATATTATCACCATCATTTTGGTGGGAGGGTAATTAATTTGTCCAGTCACTCAGCCAGTAATTAGTGGGGCTGGGATTTAAATTCAGAAGAGCAGAGCGTCAAAGCCCAGGCATACCTGACCGCTGTGCTCCCCAGTCTCTCTGCTGGCATAATGTGGATTTTACAATCAGTTTTTTTTTTTCTTTTGATATTTTTTATGTCTTTTATGCATCATTCTTCATTTATTAAGCCCATGATAACACTGTTTAACTGCTTGTTGAACAGTACTAGATAATTTATTAAGTAAGGCAGGCATTGTTTTGACAGTTATACTTCATTCAACATGCTTATATAATGAGCACCTTCTGAGCTTCAGGGACTTTATCACTAAAGTAACTTTAGAAACAAAACAACTTTATCACAAAAGTTTTTTATGAATTAATATTTAATGATTATATAATACAAACTTACTGAAACTCTCAGACAATTGTGCTACTACTTTAAGAATAAACTTTATATAAAAGAGAGGACATATTTTGATCTTTTAAGTTTGGGATCTTCATTTGACTTTGAAACTGAATCAATATTTTACAGTTTCAAATAGTAATAACAGTTTTAAGTATCATTATATATGGGGTTTGATTTAAAGCTATCTACTATTAATGTATAGAAATACTGTAGATTTTATAATTACTTCAATGCTAATATTTTTGCAGGTAGCGCAATATTAAATGGTGAAGGAACAGCCACAGATACTCAGGAATTTCTGGCAAATAAAGGTGAATAATAATTTTAAATAGTTATTGATTAAAGTAGTTTGGTTGGTTTTGTTTTATTTCAGAGAAAATCTAGAGTTTGACAGTAGTTATGTAGAAATTTCAAAGTTGAGTTAAAATGGTGTTATTTTAATATAATATTCACACTCTTCATAAATATTTTATATAAAATCCAATCAGTTCATTCATCTGAAATTAGTAAAATCTAGTGATTCAGTTTAGCACTTGGATTTGTTTTATTCTTTTTGTTAGATTTGAAATATTTTGTCACTTGAGTTAACATTGTTTGAGCTAATTTGTTGCGTTTGTCACCTCAGGAGTTACTAAGTAAAATTCCATGGTTTTAGTTTTTTATTCTATTTAAACTGCCTGTTTCATGTCACTTGCATTATGAAATGTTCCTAAGTTATTTCTCATTAAATAGCATCATAAAGATAATCTAACCTTTTCTTAAAATTCTGTGACTTTATCATAGTAGGCTTAATACTGACAAAATAGAGGCGAATATCATGTAAAACTTAAACTTACATTTTTAGAGCACTGTCTTTCAGAGCCCTGAAAGTCCCTCTCTCTCTCTCTCTCTCTCTCTCTCTCTCTCTCTCTGTGTTATTCCTAGGATTAACATCTATTAAAAAGGATATGACTGACATAAGTCATGATTACGAAGATCTTGGCCTCTTACTCAAGGACAAAATAGCTGAATTGAATGCTAAGCTCTCCAAATTGCAAAAGGCTCAGGAAGAATCAAGTACAATGATGCAGTGGCTACAGAAAATGAACAAAACAGCAAAAAAATGGCATCAGACACCTACACCTACAGATAGTGAAGCTGTGAAGACTCAGGTTGAACAAAATAAGGTATATTTCATGGATACATTTACTGAGGACATGAAAGAGAACAGATTAGCATTCAGATCTGAGCCCTGGTGGTCAGGAGCCCTATCTCTGATTTCTAGTTCTGTATAACTTTCAGCAAACAATTGACCAGTTTTGTTTAATGTGCCTTTCCGTAGAGAGTGATGGTAATAGTTAACGTCTTTTGCACACTAACATTATAAAGATGAGTGAACTGTTGGGTGTAAGCTTTTTGCCACCTTTAAATCAGTTTAAGTCTGGGATATTAACAGGTGAACCATTCCAAAAGATATATCTAAGGGATTAAGTGTATTAGGGATCTGTTCTGTCTAGTATAAAATAGGGTAAGTAATGCCTGTCCCTTTTCTTTAATGGTTGGTATTTCTTTCTACATCCATCAGGGTTGGGAAAATGATCCTACATGGTAGCAATGATGGTGAAAATTCTTTACAAATTACTATTTGATTTCTATAATGTGTTGTCAAAAAAAGTGCTTACTCATGAGTAGATTCTCAGATTCTGGCAGCCTTTATCAAGGCTAATTTTCTTATTGATTACAATCTTACAGAATGTCATTTTTTTTTCTGGAGGGGTTTGAGAATAGTATGAAATTCTTCCTCAGTAATAGGGACTAGACTCATTATCTTTGTGACTATAGCATTCCTTCTTTGTGGGATTCCTTCATCAAATAGTTGAAGACTAGGTAAGAAGAAGAATGTATTAATTTTTTGAATTCATGTTCTCACCCACTTCAGCATTTCACAGTGGATTTTTTCCTCTTTTGGTCATGCTAGAGAAAAACATGCTCTATCGTAACTGTGCCTGTGTCTTTTGGTGTCTGCGTATTTTAATGTAGTTACTGTATTGTTTGTTTTTCCCTTGTTAGTCATTTGAGGCAGAACTGAAGCAGAATGTAAATAAAGTGCAGGAGTTGAAAGACAAATTGACAGAGCTGTTGGAGGAGAACCCAGATACTCCTGAGGCCCCCAAATGGAAACAGATGTTGGCAGACATAGGTATGTGAACCCAAGTCTATGAACGGAAGCACAGTCATTTCCGTTTTTATCATTATCTTTATCTGAAAACATTTTTCAACAACCTCACTTCATTTTGGATTTGATTTTATGGTTCAGAATATGTTTTTGTATGTTTAACAGTATCATTTCAGATTATAATATGCTAAGAATTGACATATGTTGGTTTTTCTTGCTAAAACAGTAACTAAATTTATTTTTATGGAGGAGGTTGATACTATAGTAAAATGTGCACTGAGTATTGTTTTCATAGTGTTCACTTCCTGTTTACTAGCTTTTTGGCGCTTCTATTTCTTTTATGTATTACTGCATTTTAGTTTAAATATTCCTTTTGTTTGTTTGGAAATGATGACTCTTTTTTCTTTCACGGAATTACTTTTGGGACACCTACAGCCTCATACGTTACGCTCTTACTTCTTCTAACAAGTATTAAAAAGTAGCTCTCCACAGAAGTCTGAGGGTTTTGATTCCTTAGCCAAAGTTCTCCGTCACCTGGTCCTATCCCTGTACAAACTGTTCCTCATAGGTACAATTTCCTTCACAAGCCCTGTTGTCTTATCTCACCCCTTTTCATTATTTTAATGATACGGAACATGAGTGTAAGACAGAGATAATAACCATCTCTACTTCATACTATTGTTCGGAGAATTCAATGAGTTAATATGTGTATAGCTCAGATAAACAGTACCTGGCACATAATAAGTACTATGTAAGCGTTTGCTATGATTATAAGGAGAATTATTATTTTACTTTCCATCATTCCATTGTGTTCATCTAAATATTGTCCTTCCTTTAGAGTTAGGTATACTATAATAAATTTAGAAATCTTTTTCAAACTAGGTTTTAGTTTGAAAAAGTTTACTCCAAGTGTTCTTAATGTTCAGAGGCTATATTTAATCCAGCTATACAGACTGTTGTTGCACTGCAATTAATTTGCCCCTAATTCAGTTCTCTCACCTACAAGCATTGGAATACCAGAATTACTTGGGGGGAGTATTATCAAGACACATTTGAATAGAATGGGAGTGAGGAATGTGTATTTTGAAAAAGCCTCCTGATGATTTTGATATTTTTCCCTCCCAAGTTATTGCTTTGATTGCCATTATTTTGTTTTCAGATTGTGTTTGAGTAGAACATGCCATCATATAGAATGATATCATTAGACAAGGTTTTGGGGATTGAGTTCTATTTAAATCAGCCCTTTAGTACTTCAGTCTGAGTGAAAAAAGTATGCAAATCAACTATTCAGAGTCACTAATGAATGTTTATTGAGCATCTGATGTAGTCAAGGCACTGGACTAAGTGCATAGATCATTAACCCTTGGCTTTAGGGAGCATGCCATCTTGAGGGTAGAGAGAGTACGAAAGACTTCATAGAGAGCGAAAGACCCAATGGAATTGTGAAGGAAACAGAGTAAGATTGAGATATGTAGAGAGGAGGGTAGACTGTGGCAGGCATAGACCCTGCGTGAGCAAAAGCCTGTTTGGATGATAATGCTAAGATCAGCAGGGCTGGATTGGAGAATTGATCTTGAAGAGCAAACCCCCTAAGATTAGTAGACTAGGGCCAGATTGTGGGACGCCCTGCATGTCAGGCAAAAGTCTTTAGATTTTATTGTTAAGGTGGTAAGGGGTTAGTTATTGAAGGAGTTGGGTAAGGAAAGTGACCTTTTAAAGTGATTTTTTTAAGCAAAATTATTTTAGAACAGAATAGATTACAGCTGAGAAAGACTACTAGCCAGGCGGCCAATTAGGAAGCCCCAGTCAGTAGTCTCAATCTGTAGTTCTCAAAATATGCTCCTGGGAACAGCAGCATCAGCATCACCTAGGGACTTGTTAGAAATGCAAAATTTCAGGCCCCAGTCCAAACCTACTGAATCAGAAATTCTGGGGCCAGAGCTCAGAAATCTGTTTTAACAAGCCCTTCAGGTGATTTTAATGCAGCTAAAGTTTGAGAACCACTGGTCTATGCGAAAGATCATGAAGGCCAAAATGGAGTTATGGCATTGGTTTAAGGCTTTATGATTAAGGATATAGGAGAGCTAAGAAAGTTATAAAAGAACATTCTGAATTGTTGCATCTCAGTGACATGGAGAGGATGAAAACCGTGATTGAAAGAAATAAAGTCAGAAAAAGTCACCAGTTTTGAGAGGAATATAGTGAATTTTGTTTTATAATGTTGAGTTTAAAAGGTTAGTGAGACATCCAAATGTAACTTTCCAGCAGCTGATTGTTGATGTGTGATTTGAAGAGGAGAAAATGATTGAGGAGTAGATAAATTTGGGAGTCACTTGCCTAGAACTGATAATTGGAGATTTGATATTAAAGGGTTAATGTTCATTGTTCAAATAGGTCAGTTATGGCCGAATAAAAGACTACAAAGGACTTCTAGAAAGGATGATGAGGGATCTCAGGATCCTGTTTGCTTTAAGGAATATTCCATATTCTACAGGATCTTTAAAATAGATTCAAATTTAGTTTTCTCTTATACTTTAGCTCTCATACAACCACCAGGACCATAAAATCTGTACCATTAAATGCAATTAGGATAGGCCTTTAATCAACTATTAGAAGAGCTATTAAGTTGTAATGATAGTCATTACATATCATTTTTAGTCATTTCATATAGTCTTCACAGATATAGTCATGTCAGATGCATAGAAACCAAACACCAATTTCATCCTTTTTTTTTTTTTCCTAGATTCTAAATGGCAAGAACTCAATCAATTAACAGTTGATAGACAACAAAAACTGGAAGAATCCTCCAATAATCTAACCCAGTTCCAGACTGTAGAGGCCCAGTTAAAACAGTGGCTAGTGGAAAAAGAACTGATGGTTAGTGTTCTTGGGCCTTTGTCAATTGACCCGAATATGCTAAACACACAACGGCAGCAGGTACAGGTGAGTATTACCTGATAACCTATGTCGTGTGCAGCAACTTTTCTTAACAAGATAATCGTTTTCATTATAAATACATTAGCTTTGGACAGTGTGTGCTTTAACTGTCTTGGGAGGTATTGGTAATGTTTCAGAGGCTCATAAGAAACCATCCTGAGATTAGTGGGAAACCCCCCAGAGAACTAGAGCTGTAAGGCACACATTCTAGAGTACTCTGTTTTATTTTATGAGTGGGTCAAGTCCCTAATAATTTTGGTCATGTGTGGTTTATGCAGACCCTGTTATAAAAGAGGCTTTTTTGAAGTATTAATGTGATTGTATAAGTAATAATAACACTTTTATGAGAAGCTAGTATATACTTTTTATTGTTTAGAAATTACTCCTTTGAGGTTTTCTTCACTTTGATTATGGTAGTAGATAATGAAACTTTTAAAAGTCATGCAGTACAGCCTTGAGGGGAAGAGACACAGAATAAGAAGAGGAGAAAGGAATAAGGGAAGCAGAGAGGGAACCTTGAAACCCAATGGATTAGTTAGGCTAGTCTAATTATAAAGCAGATAAATCCACAAGGGGGAAAAATCCATAAAATTTAAATCAGACGTAATACCAGAAGCTCCATTGTGGTTTCAATTAGATTTCTTTATGTATGAGTGCTTTAGAGCAGTGAGATTGATTCTGTGAGCTGAAAATATAAATCAGTCTTGGTAGTTTAGAGTCTCATGTCATAGTTCATATGTATTCTTAATCTGAAGAGAATGGAAACAATTAAAAGATCAAAATAAATATTTTGGGGGAATAATTGCATCTAGTCTTAGTAGACTCTCAGAGATAAACCCGATATGACTGAAAGGAGAAAAGTTTTGGATCATTCATTTTATAATGAGAAAGAGTCATGTGGATCCTGTTCATTCTGAACAATGTGATTTATTGGCTAAAATCTTTATAATAAAGACTATAAATGTCAATAAATCTTTCATTATTATGTTAAAAAAAACCTTTGTAAATCAATGCACCATGAGTTAATGTAGTCTAATGTTATTATCACTGTGCCTACAAAGAGAAAAATGGGTAAGAAAAAAAACAAATAAATATGATGTTAGTGCAATGTGAACTTGTCCAATAGCAGTGTTTCCCTTTGTACGTGAATTTTTGTGCATGAATTTGTTATTTTGCCCAGACTACAAAAATATTTATTCTGTTCCTTTTCCCCTTTAGGGGATATTATTTTAGACAAAACTTTGTCTTTGCAAAGCCCCATTGCTCTTTGGATTAGTTTAAGATAATTGCACTGTCCTTGAAATAAAAACTTGGAAAGTGGTAACTAAGAAAGCAAAAACCAGATAAATACCGTTTCTGTCTGCTTAGAAACTTAAAGCTATGTTTTTTTAATAACTAATTAACCAATCATTTATTTGTGTGTTTATTTACTCTTGTTACCTCAGATTCTGTTGCAAGAATTTGATACTCGGAAACCTCAATATGAACAGCTAACAGCAGCTGGTCAGGGCATTCTGAGCAGACCTGGTGAACATGCTTCCTTGCATGGGATTGTGAAAGAGCAACTAGCAACTGTGACCCACAAATGGGATAGCCTAACAGGACAGTTGAGTGACAGATGTGACTGGATTGACCAAGCCATTGTTAAAAGCACACAGTACCAAAGCCTGCTGAGAAGCCTTTCTAATAAACTGAGCGACTTGGACAATAAACTCAGCACCAGTCTGGCTGTGAGCACACACCCTGATGCTATGAGCCAGCAGTTGGAAACAGCCCAAAAAATGAAACAGGAAATAAAGCAAGAGGGAGAGCAGATAAAGGAGGCCCAGGCACTCTGTGAGGATTTGTCAGCTCTGATTAAAGAAGAGTATTTGAAAGCAGAACTTAGTAGGCAACTAGAAGGCATCTTAAAATCATTTAAGGATATTGAACAAAGAGCAGGTTTGTCTTTCTTTTTAGTAGGTAGTCTTTATATCTCCTGGCCAGAAATAGATACCTTGTATTGCCTAGGTGGTACAAATGATAACACTTTCGACTGCTAACCAAAATGTTGGAAGTTCAAGTTCACTCAGAGGCATGTTTGAAGAAAGGCCTGGCAATCTACTTCTGAAAATCAGCCATTGAAAACCCTGTGGAGCACAGTTGTACTTTGACACACATGGGGTCGCCATGAGTCAGAGTTCACTCACGGCAACTGGTTAAGGAGACGCTGCCCCCATTGAAAGCATAGATGAAAAGGAGACTCATCACACATGAACAAGGAGCAGTTCTGTGTTCATATGAGCACACAACGTTAGGATAATTCTACATGGATAATGGAGAGACAGTCAGTTTGCAAACTCTGTTAATGAGAGCTCATTAAAATTTCAAATATTTCAAATTTGGCTTTTAAAATATAGTTGTAAAACATTATCACTGAGTGAACAGTTTCATTTCACCAGAAAAACAGATGAATATGGTTATTAAAAAGGCTTTGTGGCATTTTCTTATATGCTGCTACTTTGTATGATTTCTGTCATAGAAAACTTTCCTAGAGAAATGTGTCAAAGAGAAGCATTTGACACTGTTTTCCTTTCTCACCTACTGCAGCCATAATTCTGTGACGAATGTGCCAATATTTGTCAGAGGCAGCAGTAGTGGGTTAATGGACTTCAGAAAGGCCTGCCAGAGAAGAGCACATTTTGCTGCCATGTTGTTTTGTTTGAAAAGTAACCCAGTGCCTTGGACATAGTACATATTCAATTCAGATATTTTAATTGTTTGGATTTCTTTATTGATCATAGTAACAATTTCAAATTTACTTCTTTATTCTGGCACAATATTGAAAATAATAAATGTTAGCTATTATTATTGTTAGGCACCCAGGGGGCGCAAAGGTTAAGCCCTCAGCTGCTAGTTGAAAGGTTGGCAGTTCGAACTCACACAGCTGCTCCGCAGGAGAAAGACCTTGCGATCTGCTCCCATAAAGGTTACAGTCTAGAAGACCTTATGGGGCAGTTCTGCTCTGTCACATGGGGTCACTATAAGTTGAAAATAGACTCAATGGTACCTAACAACAACAACAACATTATTACTACTGTTGTTAACACTTTTCGTTTGTTTAATATTATAGTTTAAGTGAAAGTTTACATTTCAAGTTAGTCTCTTATACAAAAATTTATACATACATTGTTATGTGACCCTAATTGCTCTCCCTGTACTGTGATAGCACACTCCTCTTTTCCACCCCTGATTTTCCAAGTCCATTCAACCAGCTCCTAACCCTCTCTGCCTTCTCATCTCACCTCCGGACAGAAGCTACCTGTGGACAGGCATAAGCTAAGGACTTTACACATGCTATCATTTAATCCCCACCATTGTTACGTGTGTTGCCTACCATTAATATTTCCATTTTCCATTTGGGGAAATGAGACTTAATGGTTTAATCATTTTCCCGGGGTCTCACAACTCTTAAGAGGTTGAGCCAACACCCAAACCCATGCAGTTTCTAAGTGCTACATTATATTGTCTCCATGAAATATAAATGTTATAGGAGTAAAAAGTAATCTTTGATAAGAAATGAATTATTTATCAACACAACCTAGAACTTTAAACAGTGGTCACTTCCGCATACTTGAACGGAGATGACTTTAGCTAAGTAGGTGGTGTGTGATGTGACTGCCCTCTTCCGCCATGCACCTTTATGCATTTTTACTTATTCCCATAATCTCTTTTTCTGTCTCTCATCTATCTCCTGCTTCTTCCTTTGAGTTTCTTTTATTTTGTGGTTCCTGCCTCATGCTTCTTTTTCCCCTTTCTTCAATAACTTAAGCTTACTTGTAGTTCTAATAGTCAGTGCTAGAAGCCCTTGATTTTACAAGTCTGTACATTCAGTGGTTTCCTCTTGGCTTTTTGTAGATTAAATCAACATGTTGGTGTAAAATAAACATATCTGTCATTTCATTTTCAGAGAATCATGTCCAGCACCTTCAGTCAGCCTGTGCAAGCTCTCATCAGTTTCAGCAAATGTCTAAAGATTTTCATGCTTGGCTGGATACAAAGAAAGAAGAGCAAAATAAGTCTCACCCAGTATCAGCCAAACTCGATGTCCTAGAGTTATTAATTAAGGATCAGAAAGACTTTAGTAAAACTTTAACTTTACAGTCTAATTTTTATGAAAAAACCATCACAGAAGGTGAAAATCTATTATTAAAAACTCAAGGATCTGAGAAGGCAGCCTTACAGTTACAGCTTAACACTATTAAAGCTGATTGGGATGGATTTAACAAACAGGTGAAAGAAAGAGAAGACAAATTAAAGGATTCATTGGAAAAAGCCCTCAAGTATAAAGAACATGTAGAGACTCTCCGGCCATGGGTAGAAAAATGTCAAAACAACCTAGAAGAAATAAAGTTTTGCTTGGATCCTGCTGAAACAGAAAATTCTATTGCCAAATTAAAATCTCTACAGAAAGAAATGGACCAACGCTTTGGGATGGTAGAGTTACTAAACAACGCAGCCAATAGCTTGCTCAGTGTCTGTGAAATAGATAAAGAGGCTGTTACAGATGAGAATACATCGCTGATCCAAAAGGTAGACATGGTCACTGAACAACTTCACAGCAAGAAATTCTCCCTGGAGAACATGGCCCAGAAGTTTAAAGAATTTCAAGAAGTTTCCAGAGACGCTAAAAGGCAGCTTCAGTGTGCAAAGGAACAGCTAGATGTCCATGAATCTCTAGGACCTCAGGCTTACAGTAACAAGTACCTAACTATGTTGCAGACTCAGCAGAAATCACTTCAGACCTTGAAGCATCAGGTAGATTTCGCCAAAAGACTTGCACAGGACCTTGTGGTAGAAGCCCCAGACTCAAAGGGCACCTCTGATGTCTTATTACAAGCAGAATCTTTAGCTCAAGAACATAATGCGCTAAGCCAACAGGTTGATGAAAAGTGTTCATTCTTAGAAACCAAGCTTCAGGGCATTGGACATTTCCAGAATACCATCCGAGAAATGTTTTCTCAGTTTGCTGAGTTTGATGATGAACTGGATAGCATGGCTCCAGTGGGGAGAGACGCGGAAACATTGCAAAAGCAAAAGGAAGCTATTAAAACTTTTCTGAAGAAACTAGAAGCCCTCATAGCAAGCAATGACAATGCCAATAAAACCTGCAAGATGATGCTGGCCACAGAGGAAACCTCTCCTGACCTTGTTGGAATCAGAAGGGACTTGGAGGCTTTAAGCAAACAATGCAACAAGTTACTAGACCGAGCACAAGCCAGAGAAGAGCAGGTTGAAGGGACTATTGAGCGTCTTGAAGAATTCTACAGAAAATTGAAAGAATTTTCTACTCTGCTTCAGAAAGCTGAAGAACATGAAGAGTCACAAGGCCCCGTTGGTATGGAAACTGAGACAATTAACCAACAGCTTAATGTTTTCAAGGTAGGGAATTCTTCACTTTTACTCGTTGTTTTTTATTATTAAAAGAAATTTCTAATTGGTGTAGAAGAGAGATTGCCCATTTTGTAGAACCTTCCCATATGGCTGTTACACAGTATTTGACCCTGAGTAAGCATATATGGCGAAACCTTGGTGATGTAGTGGTTAAGAGCTATGACTGCTAACCAAAAGGTCGGCAGTTTGAATCCACCAGGCCCTCCTTGGAAACCCTATGGGGCAGTTCTACTCTGTCCTGTAAAGTCGCTATAAGTCGGAATCAACTCAATGGCAACAGGTTTTTTTAAGCATATACGGAGCCCTGGTGGCGAAGTGGTTAAGAACTACACCTGCTAACCAAAAGGTCGGCAGTTCGAATCCACGAGCTGCTCCTTGGAAACCCTACGGGGCAGTTCTACTCTGTTGTATAGGGTCACTATGAGTCACCAGCAATGAGGAGGGGGGAGAATCATAAATGGTAATGCCCAGGCGCATGGGGCAGTTCCAAGCTTATGGGGGATTTGGGCCCTCATGGAATAAGACCTGAGATAACATTAAAAAGTCAGAAGGGTGCTTGAAAAAGTTGCAGGTAAGCCTAAAACTGACAACTAGGACTTTCTTTCAGTGTCATTCAAAACTGATTTCTGGAATAATGGGAGCCATATTTTGAACTCTTCTGCAGAGGCCAGTCCCTAACCTAATGAGCTTGTTCTCTTGATGTTTGTCTCCCAGCCATTTCTTTAATGGTGAATTATAGCCGTTTCCGGCTCCTCACTTTTTTGTAGTCTTCTCATCCTTCAGTTTAATTTCTTTTGTAAACTTTTCTTACTTCCAAAAGTTCATATTTTTAAAGGCATAGTGAAGTTCCATGTTGTAGTCTTGGCTTTATAAAACAAAGACCTTGGATTCATGCCACAGGAGGAGTAAATTATTTCTAATTGGGCTATAAGCTCCTCAGTGCAAAGAAATATCTGCCACTTGATAGTGCTCAAGGCATGCTTAATGAATAGAACATTAGATTAAAATGGTGGGCCAGCTTCCGTGTCATTGAATTTGGCCTCATTTGAGATAGAGCAGAAGTCCTGTCTCCGTAAGCATAGGCTCAGCTGTGGACAGGGAGGGTCCTAAATATCAAACGTTTGCCACATGGGACTAGTATGAAGCTTTGCAGTTGTCATGGATCCTGTTCTATGTGTTTTTCTTTATGGTAAAGACTGGTGAAGGTATGTTGCACCATCGGCTCATGAGGGATAAAATAAGATCAAATAAAAACAGTATTCACAAAACTACAATTCATTTCCCATGAGAAATGTATATAAAACATATGACTTCAAAATTCTGTGCTGTTATATTTGACATAGTATTTCCTCTGTTCATCAGTAGTAACATTATTTAGACCATTAAACTTTGAAAAATAACACCTACTACTACTTCTCCTTCTCCTCATTATTACTGTTACTGTTATTTATAAAGTTCCTTGAAAGCCTGGTTCCTTCAAAGCTTATAAGAATCTGTGATTCTGCTTTTAGATCTTGTTTCTTGAACATGAAGGAAATTGCCTTACTGTTCGCTATACCTTCTTCATTACTCTGTCAAATTTTCATATTTCTGGTTTGAAAAATAAAGATTTCAAATGAGAGAATCTTCTATTAGAAGGACAAAGTTCTGTGGTAACTCCTGCTTCAGAAAGCTAGGGGAGAGCTTAAGGAGCTTGAGCTTCCTCAGACAGAAAATTTTGGAATTTTCTATAGCACCCTCACAAAACTTTAAAGCAGTTACTTTATTAGTCCTTTTACTAGTAAAATTTAACTGTACTCAGTGCCTTCGTGAAACATTATCATTTCTTTAGGTTTTCTGTGAACTTGTGTAGAGGAAAGAGTAGGACTTCATTTCTCTTCACTGCTTCAGCTACTTTTAAGAAAATGGGCAAAAGCAATGATATTGATGTTACTGTTTGTAGAAGCTCCCCCACTCTGTTCCCAGCATGAGTACAGGGATAATGTGGCCCCAATGTGGAAAATTCTTTTGAAAGTAAGAAAAAGCAAGAGGTAGGAGTTGTTCCAGCACCATTGCTTTGAAAGTGTTTTACAGACTGCAAAGCGCTAAATAAACATTCATTGCCAATAATAGGATTGTCTTATTTGATTGTGGAGAAAAATAAAGTGGTCATTTCTCCTGAAATAAACCACTTGGCCTGCTGTGTTTGTCTGTTTTCTGATTGCTTTGAAAGGAGTTGATTGATTTTAATGAAATTCAGTAATTATAAAGAACATCATCACATACTTTCAGTGTCTTGAAAACCAGTGTTATGAATTGAACTGTGTCCCCAAAAAATATGTATTGAAGTACCTTGTACCTATGGATGTCATCCTCTTTGGAAATAGGGTTTTTCTTTGTTATGTCAATGGGGTCATACCAGAATGGGGTGGGTCCTAAACATAATGACTTCTGAGTTATAAAAAGAACAGAATTGTCACAGAGACATGCACAGATAGAAGAGAGGCTATATGAGGACCCATCTACAAGCAAAGAAATGCCCAGGATTGCCAGCAGACACCAGAAACTAGTAGAGAGGACCACAGAAAGAATTGACATGACTGAGACCCTGATTTGGAATTTTAGCCTCTAGAACTGTAAGAAAATAGATTTCTGTTTTTTAAAGGCACCTATTTGTGGTATTTCTCTTAAATAGCACTAAGTAACTAAGATAACTGGTGACTAAAAGCAAGTTTTTAAGTGGATGTATCATTTGCATTTAATATATTTCTGTGCCATAGGTAAAAAAGAACAAGAACATGATTATGGTAAATAAAGATGGTAGCTTACACCATCATTAATTCCAATTATTTATGTGTGTGTGTAGTTAAAAAAATCGAATAGTTTCAACAATTAACCTTTATCTTGAGCTTACTAACATGTAAGGCTCTCTGCCTTTAATCCTGTTAACAGTTGTGAGAGAGAGATGCTTTATTATCTTCATCTATTGAGAAAGAAACATGCCTAAGGAGGTTAAGTGACTCACCCAAGGTCACACAGGTAGTAAGCATCAGAGCTTGAATGTTTTGATGAAAATAATGCAATGTTTTGTGTCAGCTTTATTCACCATGGTTCACATCTAATATGTTCTCTGGGAAATTTTCAAATCATCTTTGCTGTAGCCTAATTTGGACAGCCTGAATAACCAGCCTTGTTTATTTTAGTCCAGAACACCAGGAACATCCCACGCACTTAATGAAAGTGTTCTACGAAACTGTCTATTATGAGAAACAAATGATATAAATGTGTATGAAATTATCTTAGAAAGTGATGTTATATAGATGCTTGTGATGATGATGATAATTACCACCACTATTACTACTATTATTGATATGAAAGGTGCTGTGGTGGTATAGTGGTTGAGCTCTCGGTTGCTCACTGAAAGATCTGCAGTTCGAACCCACCAGTGGCTCCAAGTGAGAAAGACCTGGTAATCTACTCCCATAAAGATTACAGCCTAGGAAATCCTATGGGGAAGTTCTGCTCTGTCCTATAGGGTCAACTATGGGTTAGAATCAACTCGATGGCACATAACAACAACAGCAACTATTGAGATGGAACCAAACCTTGTCTTAGTGATTATACCTTCTTGATTAAGGTGGTAAACTAATGTGTGTACAATTCAGATCTTTCATTTTTTGTTGGGCATTAGTCTTTTGTTGAACATTAGTTTTAACACAAAATTTTTAGGAAGTTTTTAAGTGGAATGATTTGTATTGAATGAAAAACTAATAGTTTATAAAAATAGCAAACTGCTTGTTATTGTAATTTCTAAAAATGCAACAAAACCACTAAAGGACTTAGTCTCTTTATTATAGACTTTGAAGTATAACCTATTTTGACATTATCCGATAGCTTTAGTTAAACCTAATGTCACAGATAAAGTCTTAGGATAAATTTTTCTTAACATAAAGTACTTTCAGAGAAGGACTGAAGTTGAATAATAGCTCAATAAAACCCATTGCAGTTAAGTCAGTTCCAACTCATGGTGTCCTCGTGTCGTAGAGTAGAACTGCTCCATAGGGTTTTCTTGGCTGTAATCTTTACAGAAGCAGATCATCAGGCCTTTCTTCCATGGTGCCACTAGGTGGGTTTGAACTGCCAACTTCAGGTTAATAGTTGCACGTAAACCCTTTGTGCCAACTAGTGACCTCAGTGACTCTATAGGTGTGTCGTATGTTTACTTGGATTATAATGGATTATTTAAACCAGGTAAGACAGACTTCCCTGCTTACATTTTTTTTTGTTTTTTTCCTCAAACTTAACCTAAGAAATAGTATTAATATTTATCTTAGGTTTCCATGAAAGGACAACGTTCATGTTTAAGATACCAACCTAAATATATTGATTACAAACAAATGCTATTCTGAATCCAGTGTTCTAATTCACTGTCAGTCAGTGAAAGCTATTTAGAGTGTTCAAAAATAAATTGGCATTGCCTTTTGTGTTAGCTTAATGTTTTGAGACTATACTGATTGTGTTGTTTTATTTTCCATGCGTGTTTTGCAACTTCTTAAATATTAATCTGTGAACTAGCGCAAGGTGTTTTCTATTCCTGTTCATAAGTCTAAGTACCATTTTTCTACTTACACTTCTCTACTATTACAATTAAGTTCTATGCCACTATCATAAATTGGTAGTGTGAATAGCAGAATAGATTCTGTATGTCTTTAGGACATTGATTCTAACCAGAAAGAAAGCCCCTTTTGTATTCCACCTATCCCCCTCTCCGGTTTGAAGACTCCAAGCTCAAGATTGTCTTCAAATCTAAACTACATTAATGATTTCACATTTTTATTTATCAAAAACATGTGTAACTGACTAACCAAAACCCTTTCATCAAGTTGCTTCTGACTCATAGCAACCCTATATAACAGAGTAGAACTGCTCCTTAGGGTTTTCCAAGGCTATAATCTTTATGGGAGCCAACTGCCACATCTTTCTTCCATGGAGCAGCTGGTGGGTTTGAA